ATTTATTAATGGTCATTTATTTTATCAAAATGTTTCAAATCTTTCAATTAAACAATTACCTAATTTTAAAGGTTTTGATCTATATTTATATTTATGAAAGAGTTATAAATAGAATAGAATAGAAAAACAAAAGTTGTTTTAATCTTGAAAAATTCCGAGCATGATAGAATTTATTTTAATTGGTAACTTATTTTATTATTTTATAAAATTCCACTATTATTTTATTTTGGAAGGTAAATGTGAAGTGTGTGTGTATATATATATATATATAAAGAAAGAATATACATCAGGCATAAGCCGAAACAAAAACAGCAGGCCAGTGAATAAGCTGTTATCTAGGACCTTGAAACACTAATCATTTTATATGTTTAATCATTATATATGTTGTTCATGGTAAACACTAAACAAAAACCGCAGGCCAGTATTTCAATCATGGTAAACTAAATTATATATGTTGTTCAATAAAATATATAGTGGAACAATTAGCTGTTATCTAGGACCTTGAAACACTAATCATTTTATTTTCATTTGAATGTGAGATCATAATCAATGAAAGTTGTTTTCATGAATTAATGAATGGTCGAAATCAAAAGAGCAAATGATAAAAGACCTTCAGGAATTATGAAAAAGGATATGGTGAATTTGTAATAATATCAATGCACCAAATTAATAAAATGTACTACTATACAACAATATATATATATATATTTAAAAATATCGATATTGTTTGGTGTCATGTGATTAAAAGCATTTGGGCAATCATAAGAATCTCTTTCTGTACATATACAACTAAATCATAAGAACCTATATTGACGGAAAACGTACCTGAAATTCTTCCTCTTTTCTTAAAAAACGAGAACGATTGTCCCTAGCCAGATGTGAAAAACAACTGTGATGATGAAGGAGAAGGGCTCTCTATAGCATAATATTAGGGTTTAAGAGTTTCAGATGCGTTATTTATTTATTATTATTTTTTATCTTACCAAATAAAGGGTCACTAGTTAGAAAATTGTACGCTCTACCTCTATCAATTATGGTTATATATGGATAATGCCCATGTGAGTTTTTATTATTAATTAAACATTACACGTAGTATACATCTAGAAATTCTTTTAAGACAGTACCTTTTATTTTTTCAGACTTGTCACATCATATTTACATAAAAGCTTCAACATTAATATATTGCATAAAATATATTTTACAAAACATCCTTTAAAATGAGATATGATATTTTAAAATAATTGGATAGCTGTAAATAATTTTTATTTTTAAAGTTAAAACAAATGTACAATGTAATATTATTAATATTTTTCATTATTTCACGATCGACATTTGTGGATGATCATTCTCTTGGTATGTTAGTAATTAATCATTGTACTACGACAATTTACCAGCATAGCAACTTGATTAACTTGCCACAAATTAACCTTAGATTGATCAACTTGGATTTAACTAATTGCTTTTAGAGATCATAAATGGACCAGGTTGAGCTCTAATAGATGATGTCAAGTTGGCAATCTAAATCCATAACATTTATGTTGGTTATCAGCATACATAGAATTCCATTTTGTAAGATTCCAAGGTAGAAAAAGAAAAAGAAAAGAAAAGAAATAGAAATAGAGATTACATAAAGTGAGAGAATTGTTAAGTAAACAGATAATTGTCAGATACAACATTACTTTAATGTTGTACTCCACCATAGACTAAAATGGTAGCATAGGTAAAAATAACATTTATATGTAAACCATTACTACCCTCCATATAAAATAGGGGGTCTAATATATGTCAAAGCAAAGAAAAAGAAAATAGTGTAAATTGGAATTTTTTTTTTTTTTTTTTTTACCAGCGTAAATTGGAAAATTTATTTACCAATAGGCAAACCGCGTTAATGTCCTATTTTACTAGCTTCTTTCAATGTAAAAATTAAGATAGAATATATAGGGTATGGACCATTTTATATAAAATTAGAGATATTAACATGATTTTTCTAGGCTAATATATAAAATGGTTGGATTACGACGAAAGGGATTGCAAAAGTCTCTTGGACGAGCAGGAAAGGGACTGAACATCCGTGACGTGTTGCCCGATAGCCTTGTACCGTAAATCGGTTGTCGAACAAGGAGTAGGTGTCTCTTCTCTGATCTTATATTGTAACATCATCTCTCTCTCTCTCTCTCTATATATATATATATATATGTGGGGCTAATTAATTTGGTGCATTTTATAGGGGTTTCATGTTCCCGACGTCGCACGCCATATCAATTTAGAGTCGGTCATTGGCTACTCACGTTCAGCAACTAAGCACTACAATAAGAAGAATGTATTTATTTATTTTTCCTTTTATTGAATATATCTTACATTCACATTATCCTTCTTTTCATATTGGAAAATTTCTTTGGTATTAGGGGACAAATTACAAGTTTGTGAAAACTGTGCATGCAAACGTGGTGGGTATTTCTCATTTCATCTTGTGCCTTGCTTTTGTGGCCAAGGATAAGGATGATGCTGATGGTCAGCCTCAAATTTTTCGTGCTAATGTGTTCGAGGGAAACCACCAACCAATCTACGTGATCAAGGCTAATGAGGTAAAATTAATTAATTTATTAGTTTGATTTTATTTGTGTGTATATCTATCTAATAGTATGATTATATGAATTTTAGAAAAAGCATTACAAGGGTTCCAATCACTTAAAAACTTCTTCAAGAAGAAAAAAACTAATAGCATGTCTAATGTAGTCCAAAGCTTATGTCAATGCAACATAACGGCAAAGGGTTATAAATGCTTAGAACTCTCCAATAATATAATTAGTTGAAAGCTTATGTCCATGTATCGGATTTGGTATGTGACCGTGTGTAGGATATCTAATCTTCCAACCTAAGAAAACTGAATTCACATGTATTGAATTATCTTCTTTACAGTAAAATCAACTGCTTGAGACAGTGACGTAGACAAAAAGGAACATAGCAAGGGAGTTTCATGTGCAAATACTTTAAATATTCCATGTTTGATTGTCAGTGTCTATTTACTACATGCATTTTTGTGAATTTTACATACATGTTTTCGGGTGTTATTTACAGGCGTCTGAAGATGTTTTGAAGAAGTAGTGTGAGATTGTATTATTTTCCATTTGGATGAAGGGGCTGTAAACTTCATAATTGTGGGTTTAGAACATTGGATACTTGTTTGGCCATGTACTAGAGGTGGTTTGTAAAATTACTAAAAACTATTTGTTGAGAACTAATTATGGTACTTATGTCTCCCTTGTGAGATTATGCATATTACTTGGAATTTGTCTTTTTTGTAACAATGTGACAGAAGTGGAACTTATGGGTACATGTAATTGAATATGATTAAGTGCCGGACTGATTCACAGCTTGGGTCTTGTGCTTTGGAGATGTCTGGCTGCGTTAAAAAAAAAAAAAAAAAAGGGTAATGCCAAGAAGGAATGGGTTAAATAGTCTGATTAGTAATAGATTTCAATCTTAAACAGCTCAATATAAGAGACCTTGAATACATCAAATTGCTCTTCATGGGATGGTTTGGTGGCAATAATTACATCAAAAATGTTTTAAATGCGTAATTTTGTTAAACATGAACCCTCTTTTAACAAGAGGGCTTTTTTATTATTATTATTATTATTCAAAAGAATTACCAACACTATTTGAATCTACTCTACAAGGTTGGATTGTAAAATATGAAGGATTAGTGAATTCATATTTAAAATCACGGATGTACGGATAGACTCTAGCGGACTTGAGTTCACTCCCAAAAAAAAAAAAAAAAAAAAAAAAAAATTTACTATATTAATTTTAGCCCACCCAAAAAAAAATTATTAATAGAATTAGTCCACCCAAATAAAGCCCAAGTCAAAAAAATTTATGGGGTCTCAAAATTTATAGGCCCATGGATTATGGGTCATCGAAAAACAAAATATTTTTAGGGCAAATCATTTCAGCCTCCCCAATCGCCTCCATCTCTATTCTCATTTTCGTTCTCTAACTCTGAACTTGCCCTCTCTCTCTCCAACTGCAAACTACAAAATCTACAAAAATCAGAATTTCAAAACCCAGTTTATCCATCTGTCTGCAAGAATCAGAAGTTCAAAACCCATATATTTCAGTTTATCTATCTGTCTGCAAGAATCAGAAATTCAAAACCTATATCGGCATATCATTTCAGATTGTTCAAAAACATTTTTTTAGGGCAAGTCATTTCAGCCTCCCCAATCGTCTCCATCTCTATTCTCGTTCTAAACTCTGAACTTGCCCTCTCTCTCTCTCTCTCTCTGCAACTGCAAACTACAAAAACTACCAGAATCAAAAGTTCAAAACCCCATACCTTTCAGTTTCCATCGCCCGCTGTTCCAGTTCGGGTTCGCCATTCGCAAGCTTCGGCGAACCTTACAAATATTTTTATCCATGATCATCTATAAGTATCATAGTATGTTGGGCTGTGGCAAGGAAATTAAATTTTGGACACGCAAAGCATAAGCAAAAATTATATAATTTGGAGGAACATTAGGAGCAACCTTATAAAATGAAATCATGTACTAAAGATATCAAAAATATACTTTAATAAGCATAGACCTATACAAGGCAAGCCATTGTATACCCGATCATAAGACAAATTATATGTTTGGACCTAAATCATATGTTTTTTAGGATTTATATATGCTCCTCAACCTATAATAAATATCCAAAATACTTGGGGAGCTAAAATGAACTAAACAGCTTTGAACAAGTCAAGCTCTCATAACATAATTTTTTGACTTAAATTACCATAAGAGAGAGAAAACACATGCTAATGAACTGTTGAGCTCATTCAAGCTAAACCCACCTGCAAAATCATATACAAATTACAATATATATTTTTGGCTGCAAACTTACTAGATAGATATCATCTAGACAATCCATTTCCATAAATAATTCCCTCTTTTTGGTAAAAAAAAATTAAAAAAAAAATAAAAACAAAAAAAAAAAAAAAAAAAGAAAAACAAAAATTAGGGCAACTTCATTTTCATAAATTATTCAATTTGCTTGTTCATGGAAAACCTATGAAACAAAGAACTACATTAAAGTTCAAGCCATTAGAAAAGAAAAAGAAAAAAAAAAGAGGAAAACCAGGGAGGGAAGCAGATAGAAAATGTTATATGGACCCCAAAATCAGCTAATGAATAACATTCTCATTGGCGCAAAAAACAGAGCTAATAGCAAAAACAAAAATTATAACAATACCATCTTAACATAAATGATCTCACTTGGCATAAGTGCCTGCAGCTATCTTCCCATCATTACTAGATGCAATTCCTCGGGAAAGATTTGTGGTAATTTCAGCACCAGCTGATCTGCTTTTTCTTCGATCCACTTATTGCAACCTTGAATTCGAACTGCTTCGTGCCTCTTTCAGGCTCTACAAGAGAGCACATAAGAAACAAATATATAAAAGTAAAGATTAGACCCAGCAATCATCATTGTGAATTGCTAAAAGCACTAAGGGAGATATCCTCATAACAGACCAGTCGTTTGAAGGATCTGTTTGGGGTAGTTTTCTTTGCCTTCTCCTTATCTGGTTTGGCACGATCCAGAGTCTAGGTCACAATACATGCACTTTTAGTCGAGAAATGAGCCAACAGATCATTAAGAAGTAGATAAATGGGAAATAAAAGAAATTCACAAACAAAGGAATGAATGAAAATATAATCAAAACCACTACTGAGGAGAAAATTTATTAGTTCAAGAAACTCAACATTTCCCTAAAATCTAATATTTTGTACTCAGATTGGTTTATAATAAACCATATGCTATTTTAAGAAAAGGCAAATAGCATTTCCTTCTCATATGTCTGCATGTGTACCTTATTTCACATCATAAGTATTTGAATAAAGTACTGCCAGCCTTTTAAAATGAACTTAAACTACAAAACAATTGAATGAGTAGGAATTCAATTTGAAACATCACCATAAGTATCGTATTTTTTCTTGCCACCATCACCATAATATTGTTATCTTCTCGTATCCATACGGAGCCATTACTTAAACCAATCACACCTGAAGCACACATTACTTAAGTCTTTGAGAATAGAATTAAAGGAGCAGCTTTAAGCAGCCTTCTAGTTCACTCATTCTTGAACCTCTGATTCCTTTGAGGCATTCCTTCCAAAAACAGTATATAAGTCATGTGTTTGTCAAACTTCCTACTTTGAGAGGTTCGGGGAGATTTTACAAGAATGGGCAGGGTTCTGAACAAGTTCCAAAAGTCAAATGAGTCAGGTGATTCCAGTATCACAATAACTCTGACAGGACCAACAAAATATCTTGATGTCAATCTCAAATCATTTGTATTCTCCTTGATCCTCACAGCTTCCAGAAGCAGCATCTCAGAGGTGGTGAGCTTATTGGATAGTCCGTTGGAGAAGTTCTATCTCTTAGCTCAGTATGGCTATCTTCTTTTTGCCTTGCAAAAGCTTGTATCTAAGATGACTATTCCTTCCAAAAACCCTATCAGTTTGACTGGTGTTGCTTAACAAGTATGATCTCTCTTGGTAAAAGAATTGAATTATAATGGTGAAGCTCATAACCCACCAAGCACCCAAGAGTCTCAGATGCATCCTAGCATTACATTTGGGAGCAACAAAAAGAATACAGGCATTTAATATTTCTTAGATAGTTTATTAAGCAAAACAACTAAAAAAGGGTGGGGTCTGCAAAAGTCTCAAATACATCAACAGTCCTCTTCAACTGATTTCCTGAGACTGCCTATTCCAATTTTTTCCTTTTTTTGCACAAAAAAAATAAATAAATAAAATGCAAGACACAGTCAAATATAGCAGAAAAACTTTCCCAATTTTTTTAGCTCCATGTTGAGGGTTCCTTTTTCTCTTTTGAGTCCATTATAGAGAATACACCTAGCCTAAGTTCTATCCCCTGTAAACACCTTTAGCACCATAGTGAGATGTTGATCAAGTGGTGGACATCATGCCCTAATCCTCCCTCATGATATCAACCATAGCAAGTAGTTATCATCATCATCATCATCCCTGACTTTATCCCATATGGATGGGGTAGGCCACATGAATGCTTTATTAGTATATACCATGTCATCTGTTAAATTTAGTTTTTTAGAGTCATTCTTTATTACTTCATCCCATGTAAGTTTTGGTCGGCCTTTTCGTTGCTTACCTTCTAGGAAAACTACATTTCCTCTTCTAACAGATGCATCATCGGATCTGCGTTGAATATGGCACTACCTCGTGTTCCCCTCACACATTCATTATAAATTCTCTCTCTTCTAGTTACTCCTATCATCCAACATAGCATCGTCATTTCCACCACATGAATGCGTTGTTCTTGTGATTGTTTAATGCCCAACGCTCCATATAATGTAGCTGGTCTAATAACTGTTGTATAAAAATTTCCTTTTAATTTATTCAGTACTCTTTTGTCACAAAGGATATACCTAACTTGCCTCCATTTTGTCCACCTGCTCCAATCCTACTTACTACATCTCCATCTATCTCCCCATCTTTTTGTATTATTGATCTTAGAAAACGAAAAAGTTCTTTTGAGTTATTCTATGGTCTTGAATTGTAATAATATATTGTCATTGTTTGTTATTTATCAAATTTACATTCCATATTTTTGTCTTAATTTTACTAATTTTTAAGCCTTTGCTTCCAATGTCTTTCTCCGTATTTCTAATTTTGTCACTAAGGTTTCCTTAGAAGTGTCAATTAAAACAATGTCATCCGGAAATAACATATACCGTGGAATGTTTTCTTGAAGATATTTAGTTTTTTCATCTAACTCTATCGCAAATAGGTATGGACTTTACACTGATCCTTGGTGCAATCCCACTTTTATAGAGAATTCACTAGTTTCTCCGCACCTAGTATGGACTCTAGTCAACGTCTCATTATACATATCCTGAATAAGATTTTTAAGTTTTACGGGTACTTGTTTTCTTTGTAGAGCCCACCAAATTATGTCCCTTGGCGCTCTATCATATACCTTTTCTAAATCAATGAAAACCATATGTAAGTCTTTTTGTTTACTCCGATATTCTCCTATTAGTTGTCTTATTAAGTATGTAACTTATCAAAAAAAAAAAGTTCTCTTATTAAGTATGTATCTTCCATAGTGGATCTACTAGCATAAACCCGAATTGGTTATCAAATATTGATGTTTCTTTCCTTAATCTTTGTTCAATTATCCTTTCCCATAATTCTGCTAAATTTGCAGTTTACAAGAAAGGCTGTAAGAAGATGAACATGGTAATGGTTCTGCTCAGCTTACTTTTAAATCACCTCAAGCCAATCTTCTAACCTGCAAACATTCCGTATGCTCCTTCACTACTTGGAAGACTGCAAAGCTTGCATGCATTTCAAGTAGAATTGCAATGCTTTAAAAAATTCATCCTGTCGTTAAAAACTCAACCTGCCTTCTCCATGGTCACTATATGAACAGCTAGCGAGCTGAGGATTGCAGTTTCTTGTTAAAAGAGTTAATTCCAAGAGTTGGCCAAAGTCATTGGAAGTGTAGAAAAAAACTCCATTGACATACAAAATATAAAGAAAGCAAAAGCAGAAAAGACAGAAGCAATATGGCAGAAGACATTAGGAGATCGAGATGCACTCGCAAGTAGGGAATGAAAGGTTCTCAAGTCTCCTAGAAAAAGAGTCCCAACTTTTTGTGCTGCCTGACGATCTTAATGAGATATCAAACCTTGATGCGGGACCAAAAAATATATATATATATAGGATGAAAATACTCTGAAACCAAATTGATGTAGAATAAAAAAGAAAGATGGGGATAAGAAGACAGAAGATGATATGAGGCTAGAAGAAGGAGATGTAAAGACGGATGAAAGGGGTGAAAAGACAAATTGAAAACATAGGTTGGATGGACCAAAGGGTGAGAAGAGCAAGAACAATGGAGGGAGGCATACAAGAGAGCAAATTCTGAAATCACAATTTCCCATAATCAAAATTGAATTGTTTGCTTACATAATAGACTTTATATAGGAAAAAGCATAAACAAATACTAAGAAACCCTAAGATAATAAGAGACTAAAATATCCCTTAAATTAAATAAAAAGTAATAAAAATTAACTAATTATCTGTCCTTGCCCCTGATCCAAGAGTAAAGGCAAAACACATGCAGCTCATGTGTGCGAATCACATCTCGTTCCTAAACCTCCTTACTAGCCTTTTTGTTGCAGATCCTAAATGACCATGAAAATATAGTGAATATCATTTATAAATGAATGGAAGGCCAGGACAAGCTTTGAATATCAGTTTAGGGTCTTAGAGTGAAACTTAATAATCTATAAAAAGGTTGTCAGAAGCTAAAAAATACAGCCTTCTGCAGTCCAACATTAAACATTGTCAAGCCTCAGCTGAAGATCAAACTATCAAACTCAACTCAACTCCCTCTCGACAGAGGACCAATTTCACTCGGTCATTTTCAGCAGCTTCAAGCATGCAACATTCAGTCTCTGCTGCAATGTGCTCAAGTCAACCAAACTCAATATCTGGATGTTTCCATATGCCAATTCGAACATGCCTGTTATCCTTGTATCTTTACTTCGCCTGAGGTCCACAACTTCTTTCAAAATAATCATGAAGCAACCTTACAACATCAATGCCTGAGTCTCAGTGGTATCATGAATAGAATACATTGTCTCAAGCATTTTACATCATGATTCAATCCCACGTGTCCATGTTGGCTCAGTTTCACCCAATAATCCTAGCCTTAACAAGACTGAAATTGACAATGTAGTTTCTCAAGATTTCAAATCTAGGCATAAACAACATCTTTTAGGAATCTTCTGCTATCAATAGAAAATTTCGTTGAATCAGCCAAAATAGGTTCTCTATTTAGTCAAGAATAATGTCTAAAATTGATGCATAATTTACGATATGAGAGCTATCACAAATGATTCAGTAGTTACATAAATCATGGAATGAAGAGCCAAAGAAGATAAGAAAAAACTTTAATTACCTGTATTAATGATTCCACGCGACGTCTCATTCGAGTGTGCATGAAACCTTCTGAACACTGTTCAAAAATGCGCATAGAAGATATTGAGAAATTATAAGGCTGCCACATGTAGAACAAGCTTTCTTGTTCAAGCAAACAGCATATAAATTTATAGAAAAATCGAAAACCATGCATGTCGATATGCCACACCCAGAAACTATTTATTATTCAATTAAACACGTAAAGAAGCACAAAACAGAATTAAAGAGAAACTAAATCACAAGAAGATAAATTAAGCAACAAGCCTGTTTATAAGAGGCAGGATGCAAAATAAGGTACAGTATTCTTCATAGGGTCCAAACAGGCAGCTATAATAACCAAGATAAATGATGAAGCATATTATAAGTATCAGCACTTTCATGTGCTCATTTTTATGATTATAGCATATTTTACTATCAATACTCGAGAAAGATAGCGAATAATTCAATAAAAAATAATAACAAAATAAAAATAAAATCAAACTACTTCTGTCTACACGTCACCTTGCCGTGCCAGACCATTAACACTGATTTTAAGTCTAAAATGGAAAGGTCTAAAGAGGAGAAGAAAGGCTCAAGGCATTCACTAATGCTGAAAAATATTTTTCTATTGGGTGCTGAAAAATATATATATGATAGGGTTATTAGAGAATAATGAAGTTCGTTTTGTCAAAATAAAAGAAAAAGGAAAAGAATCTAAACACAGTGCAAGAAAAAGTGGGGAATAACAAGAAACATTTTAAAAAAAAAATAGAATATAATATGATAAATTTAAGATCAGAATTATTCAAGGAAAAAAAAAAAAAAAAAAAAGATTCAATTACTGGTTGAGAAATACCCTTAAGGCTACCATAGAAAAACAAGTACCCATAAGCAAGATAAGATGCTACAAGTGCTTCTAGAATGCTGTGTGACCACCGAATAGCAATTACCAAATGAACTAAAAGCAAAAACTTAATAAGATCGCTGATAAGCAAGCCATGCTTGATAGTGCAATATTGTGTAGTGTTATATAAAAATAAAAAATAAAAAACTAAAGGAAAAAGGAGAACTTGTCCATCAAATGACCATAGCTGAAGTTGGAATGATGAGAAAGATAAATGGCCACAAATAAATTAATACATTCTCAGAAATTGTTCAGGCGGAAACAGTCAAGAAAAAGAATAGAGAAAGTTATTTACAAAGGGTTGGCCATGTGCAAAAAAATTGTTCGAGATGGTTTCATTCAAGTGGGAAAAATTAAAAGCATAGTGTGAAGGGGCGGGAGTATGAGGTAGTGAAAAAGACAAAATGGTCTATGATTCAAACAAAGATTATGGCCATATAGATGGAGTTGAATAGCAAAACAGGAATTTTGTAGCTAATCCAAGAGAGATGAAGTTGCAGTGAGCACTCAACTCAACTAGAAAAAAGAAACCCTTATCGACAACCATTCAAGGTCCACAACCTTGATCAGCTCTTTAACATGCCATAAAGCCACACCCTTGTTTAAATCCAAGGGAACATTCTTAGAACTTGTTCTACTAGGCCTTCCGCAAAATCTTTTGGCACCTTCAATCTAAATCAAATCAGTGCTCCATGGTCTATAATTTTGCATTACAGAGTCGAGAATGTACATATAATTTGAATGAAATTATAAATTGATGTAAGGAACGACGCAATTTAGGCACACAGAAATCTGACCTTGACATGATAGCTAACATATGCATGGAATGTTGATAAACTCCAAACAGTTCTGTCCAGTTTTTTTCCTTCTACATGGCGTGGGAAAATGACTGCATTTATCAAATACGGTAAGATGTTATTGCAAGAAACAAAATGGATTAACAACCCTATTCAATTATCTTATATTACCAAAAGTAACAAATCCTGCATTTGCATGTATTGCTTCAACAGGAACTCCCTTCAGTTCTGGAGGAGGAGAAGGAGACCACGAGCAGGAAGGGGAATTGCTAAGTCCAGCTGTACGCCTTGCTTCCACAAATTCCTGAATGATACCAATGTTAAGGATGAAAAGGAGAAAAAGAAGGTATTTTTAAGTCCATAAATAAGAAGATTTACAACAAAGAAATTCTTGAAAGTTCAACAATAAACTATATCCACGCGTGCTTTATAAATGTAAAACTACATGTCTCAACATCTCATAACAAAGTTTGGGTATATGATACCAGTTAAATACGGCTACCACTAGTCACCAACAGGATGGTCCAAGTCCAACAGTGGGAAAGAGAAATGCAACAACAATTTACTAAAAGTTCCTTAAGGTTCCTATCTATATATATTCCTATGACATAAATGTTTAAAAAGTAGATCCATGTTTCACAAACTATGTTACATGGAATCCTTAATTTACCCAAAGGCCTAAGGTACGAATGATGGAAAAGTAGACATTAGGACCATCCACGTTTTCCAAAGTTTAGAAGCAAAAAATTTGAAAAATCAAACAAAGACCAAACAATCTAACTTCTCCAAGACCATGTAACATACTACAAAGTATAGCATAACTATCGGTATATCATAAAATGCCTACAATCTGAAAACCTATTCTCCAACACCATCAGCATTCATATCTATGGTTCAAACCATAACGGGCTCAGCTAAAGTCGAGTTCGTTACAGTCCAATATATATATACACACATATATATGTATATATATCATTATAAATAAAAAATCAAAACAGATTCAGTAGAGAATAGGAGTGACTATGTGACTCTGTAGAGACACCTTCTTGGCCACTTATCTATCAGCTCTAAACCCAATCAAAGAACCTTACATCCGCGAATCAAACCTCAATATACAAGATCGTGGCCTAAATCTTGGATCAAACCAAGTCCAGCCTTCAAACTAACTGATAAGTTTTTATTCTTTTATTATTATTATTATTTTTGTTTTTTCAGTTGGATGTAACATGGAGGAGTTGTACGACGATCCATACATTTTGTTCATATATCTTGCACGGATTTTTCAATTTTCAATTTTTTCGAATTGACTTCAAAGAGGGAAGTGTTTAACACTCTCATATTCTCTCAAAAAAATGTATATTTACTAATTTCCTTGTGTTATAGATCACATATAAGTTGTAGATTTATTTGTTAAGATTTTTTTTTTTTTTTTTTTATAATTTTATGTATCTTTATTTGATAATTTTTTAATTGATGGTTTAAATTTTAGAATTTAGTAATTGAAAATATTGAGTGAATACATTAATATACACTATATACTATATGTATTGTAATTTGTAATATAAGTGAAAACTCCAAATTAGTATGTTTAAATTACTAGTAGTGGCAGAAAATACAACGTACAGCCAAAACTCATATTAAATCATCTTTAATATTCAACAAAATCAACAAAAAACGTAAAAAACAGATATTTCTTAGATTTTATAGTTGAAAATTCGGTCATAGTTTATCTACACCATGGCACGCAAGGTCAATAAAGTTTCACAACTGCAGTTTCTGAAACCGTTACATAACACCTATAACACTTCACACAACGTCCACATTTGCGGCCATCTACGCTATTTAAAAACTTTGTTCCTATCTATTTCAATATTTTTAAAGAATACTTATTCAAATAATGGGTAAAGTAGGTCAGAAAATAGTACCTGTAAGAAAGAAGTTGCGAGAACAGTATCTATGGAATCCTTGAATCTCATAGGAAAAACCACAGTCACTTTATCTACCTGCCATAAACAATTGCAATATGTTACTCAGCTGCCTTTCAAGTAGACTCGCTTCTACCGATCCAATGAAAATATACACAGATGAGTAGCCGCAATAACATACATTCTGCAATGACTTAGAAACTTAATTTCAAAAATGACATTTATAGATAATTAATAATGAATTTATAAGTGAAGTAAATAAACTAAGAAAAAGTATAGATGAAGATAATCTAAGTCACACAAAGCGGGAGCGGGAGAGAAAGCAGGTGCGAGAGGAGCGTGGAAGAGGCAACATCTAAAATTTGGTCATTGCGGAAGCACCTCCAGAGCACGTATACACTTGTATACTATTATGTGTGTGTATAAAATAAAAAATGTGTTTGATCTATAACTTAGTAACCTTATTTCTTTTCTATTAAGAGAGATATAAAATTAGTATAAATTAAAATACAAAAATTATAGCATATTTTTATTTTTAAAGAAATGCGACGTGAGAAATTCATATATTTATTCTAGATTCTTAAAAAGAGAATGTTTAAATTTTGTACACACATTTAACATTTTTAGACTTAAATAACAAAACAAAAGTGATCAATATAAAGCGAACAATATGACAATGATATGTTATTCTTTTTTTTTTTTAATAGTGTAGGTTTATTCTTAGTTTTGTACATTTCAAACCGTTTTTATTCGGTATTAGACACATTTGGGTAATTGTCATAAATAATAAATGTTACATATAGTTGTCCATTGAATAGATAAAATCATTGCGAATTCGAGGATTCACAAAATTGAATTCGCAAATTATGGAAGGATTTGCTCTCCGAGCACCAATTCGTGCGCGCAGAGCGCAAGAGCAGCACCACTTTAGAAGGTTTGTGTGACTTAGAAGATAATATGCATTGAGCATTTCTCTTTCCTTTTCTTTTTTTCTTTTTTTTTTTTTTTTTTTTTCGTGTGTGTGTGTTGGGGTGGGCTGGGGGGAAAGAGGTTTAGTTGGTGTATTTAGCATAGAAAAAACTCCTGTTGTTGGATGAGGTTTTGTCATTGAAACAAAATTTCTACCTGGGGAACAAGGAAAAAAGACTCTTTAGGCCGATGCACTAGAGGAACAAGCCTATCCATGTCCGGAGCAACAGTCCTTGAAGCAAGATGTTTTAGAACTACTCTTAATGGGGCACCCAGGACTACTTCCCTCACAGATGCAATCTTTACCAAAAGAGCATGTTTGTACTCTGCACAATATCAGCAATAAGAACCATCAGAACGCACGATTAACACATGGAAGCAACATCCAAAAGTGCAAGAAAAATATGAAATTCTTTTACACGATATGTTTCAGCATTATAGATTAAATGAACTCTTAATAATTAAAGAATTCAACGGTTGTACTTGATACACCACTATGGATATTAATATTTGACATGAAAGGAACACAAAATTTTAAGCATGCTGACTCTATCCAGATATTGTGCTTTATAAAGGACTCAACTATGGATATTAGACCACCAGGCGGTTTATCCTCAATTCAGTAATGAGAACCATCAGAAATACACACCAATAACACATGGCAGCAACACCCAAAAACTTCGCCAGAAAAATATGAAATTCTTTTACACGATACGTTCCAGCACTATAGAATAAATTAACTCTAAATAATCAAAGAATTCAACACGATTGTGATTTATAAAGGACTAGACTATGGCTATTGGGTCACCGGACTGTTTATATTCAATTAAGTAATGACATTTATCATGGAAAATATAAAAAAACAACAATGCAACAATCATAACATTAAATCACCGTGCTCAAATAACTATACGACATTTGCTAGTACCTATAAGTAAAAAAATAGCATTCACTGGTAAATAAAGATGAAAAATAGTGAAATTATCAAAACATGGTCAGAGAAATTCCATCCTGCGTAAAGCCCCAAACAGTAAGATAAACAGGAGTAACAAATGTCCAGAATCCCTCAATGCACTAGCAACCTATTGAACTTCAACCAATATTTAATCAATAATCTTCAATGCTTGTCCTACTTCAATCGAAGTAGGATGCTATTACAAGAGAGATTCCTAATGGCGCAACTCTTTCATTCTTGTCTTCTAACTTCTGCTTGCTGTTTCAGCAAGCCAATTCATTGCTTTTACTGCCTTTTAACCTTGCTCGGATATGAATAGGCGGCCATCGTTTCACGTCATATTTAATTTTTCATTACTAATTGAAAGGTTTCTTGTTTAGTTAAAAGAGGAAAAAGGGAATTGCTCAATGAAATGGTAAAAAGCCGGACAGCCTAGAGTGTTAAAAACAGGTTCTAATATGAGGACACTAACTTCATACAGATAGGAAATTATGCCGGTAACCAATTCACCCTCCCACCACCCAACAGGACAGCACCAACAGTGCTCAACTTGACTAAAAAAAAGGTCTTTTCCCAACCTTTGAGTCCAACAAACACTAGGTAATAGCTTTTTAGAATTAAAAAAAATTAAAGTGGAAGCTTCAAGCCACTATCCATATGTTGAATAGTAAGATACTTCATTCTTCTAGGTGTCAATTTGACCAAGGCCCTGGATAACAGATTGTTGCAACCAAAATCACTTTTGCTTTATGAATTGTAGTCGCTGTTTTTGAAGTTTCTCCACTTAACTTTCCGGCATCCTAAGGATTGTTAGTTGCAAGACTTGCAACTCTTACACTTGTAAACAAAACGAAATTGCTTGCTAAAGTAGACCATAAATAGATCGAGGAAAATGAAATTAAAAGAAAAGAGAAATCCCTTTTGAAGAAAGCAAATTGGCCCAATTCTGCTCTAGCAATGGCTTTGGAGGTATGGCCTACGGAATGGTCTGGCGTCCTATTTTCTGAAGAGCATTTTAAATTTGGGAATTAGAGACAATGAGCTTTTCCTTTGAAAATTATATAGGATTACCTCACAAATGGAGGGGAGGATTCTATCAATGGAAAGAGGTACCAGATGGTATTTTTCTTGGTCAATCATATTACAAGATCCTCTGCTTTTGGAGAACTAAGAGGCCCTAAAATATAGGTTTGTCCAAGCGGTGGCTTGAGAAGCTATAATAATAATCATTGATATACGAAGACTTATAAAAAAAAATTAATAATCATTGATATACGAAGAACAGAAAGCAATTTCATGTAAAGTGGCACCACGTGTAAGAAAGGGGGGAGTGTTAATTCCTTTTTATTGTGAGCGTGGAAGGGAGTTGCAGTGCATCTCTTTTCAGAGTCGTTTGGCTGATGCCCTGTTGGTGCGGGATTTACATCTTTTTAACCTGGAGTATTTTTGGAACCAGACAAGGAGAATTTGGGAGCCATCCGTATCAAGAATAATGCAAAACATTTGGAAGGAGAGATTTATCTAAGGGGTGGAACTGGCCAGCCTGGCCATGTGAAAGTTATAATTTTTTATTTTCTATTTTTTGTTTTTATGGATTAAAAGTGGGGCTCCAAATTTCATCTATTTTTCGTGGAGACACTTTCTTCTTTTATTTTTTTGTCCGGATAAGGGGAGTGTGTCGCATATACAACTGCAAAAAAAAACCTATACCCTCAAGCTATCCACAAAAAAAAAAAAGAAAGTGCCATGGATTTACAATTTCTCCCCTGAACCCATAAAAATAGAGATCTAAGAACATAATATTTCGACACCACTATCGGAGTCTGGACCCCATCAAAAGACCTCACAGTTCTTTCCCTCCACAAGGCCCACCACAAACACAACGGGTTGACTTTCCGCGCATCTCTAGACTAGCATGAGATCCCAAAAAGCATCTAACGTGTTCTTCGCGGGCCAATTGTCTCTAGCCACAGAGCAATGAAGGAGGTGGTCCACTGTCTCCTCATTCCTTTAGCACATACAACAACAGTTCACGATGATCTCACACCTTCTTCTTAGATTGTCAATTGTCAATATCCTACCGGTCCAACCGAATAAAACCACCTTTACCTGGGCTTAAAGTGGAGTTTGAAGACACTTTAAAGTTGTTAGGACCGAAAGTTAATTGACTCCCAAGTACCTTTAAACCTTAGCTATGAGGACTTCAACTTAAAGCAACTTGATCCAACCAAAAATATAAAGCTGAAACTATAAACCAGATCCATTTCTAAACACAACTAATGTTGCAACAAATCTGATATTAGGCATCAGAGTGAAACAGAAAAATATGGAAAACAGCAAATAGACAGCGCGATGATTTACACAGTTCAACAAAAAGCTACATCCAAGAGAAGATAATAAAGAAATTCAACTATATAAATGAACGTTACAAGATGAGTTCATCCTCAATACAAAACCCTGACATATGAGTCGAGTCAACAAAAAGTTTCCCTCCCCAGAAAAGGCCTCTTGGACTCGAATTAAAATCACCACAATAGTCAAGATACCCAAAATACACTAGAGAGGCTAAAAAACGACTAAATCAAAATAAGAACATAACGACTCCAAACAAGTTAATGATAAAGAAAAACACCCTGGCCGGAACTAAATAAATCAGCCCCTCAAGATTTGTTTATTTTTATTCACAATCAACCTTCCCTTTGCACCCAAATTCAAGCTCCACCTTGGCCACATTGATTATGCAAAAAACATGAGCAGCCAATCCATATGGCCCTATCTTAAAAATTCTCACTCACTGTCAATAACAGGAATCTAATGCCTAATGGAATAGTAAAAGTCCCTTATTACTAAAGCTTCAATGTTAATAAAGATCGCTAACTGGAGTAATGTTATAATTACCCATGAAAGAAAGCTATAAGAATAATTATAATCTTATCAAAGGGAGCACTCCTTAGACTGAATAAGCACTTTCTTCACAATTTCCAACTTTAATGCTTGTTCTTCAGACTGGCTTATTGTCCTCTATCTCCCAGTAAAAAGTCTCAAAGGGACATCAGTTTCTTTCAAATGAGAATGACAATTTTCTTTTCAGTTGCAACCTGCTCTGAGAATAGTCTCTAATGGTCCATTTGGTTAGAGAGTAGGAGGAAGCAAAAGGCAGGAAGCAGAATGGGAGGGTGGATAGGCTTTCCCTTGTTTTGTACGGTGGAATTTAGAAGGGAAGGGAAGGGAAGAGCCGGGGAAAGGCCATTCCCTCCAGCCCCACCATATTCCTTCCTCTCAGAATTGGGAGAAAGGGCAAAGGAGAAGGGCTCCCAAAGTTTTTATACATTCACCCTTTAAACAGCACCATTTAAAACGCAAGGGTAAAATAGCAAAAACTTGAAGCATCCTTATGTACTTTCTCACTTGTACCAAATGGAGCACAAAGCTGAAAGCCCGAAACATCATATGAGAAATCCAGAAAATGACCTTTCTAATAATACCTTCCTCCTCTACTTCTTATAATACCTGCAATAACAACATATATTATTTCAATCACTACAAGGGGCAAGAGGAATTCATATTGCATATTGGGCCATTTCCTCTCATTTTGGCATACCAATTATTTTTCATCTAACATTAATTGCACAAACAGCAGAATTATGAATTTTCAGTTTTCACCCCATACTAGAACTGCATGAGGACTAACTGCTTGTCTTTTGTCACCAATTCAATGTGTATAGGATACCACTTCTGTATGTAACCATTGTTGTATAATGTGGGTAGTTTTTTGCTTGAGACACTGAATGATTTCAAAACTAGGGTAATGGACTTATGGAAGAGCCTTGATTTTTAAAAAGGTAAAAAGTTAAGTGGACCATCATGATTGGTTAAAGCAGGGTGTGTTACCTATTGCCAAACTTGTAAATGCCTAGAATGCTTTTATAGTAAAATATACGCTTTGTGAACTTTATTCCTACTGCATTTTCCCCACTAGTTTCTACCGTACACTCCCTGCCCCACGGTTTTGTAGTTTAGCTTGTCACTACATCAAAAGTAAGAATTCTGCCCTTAGAATTGTGCTTTCCTTGCTCTGTTGCTTGTGCACTTTGGCCACCCAAGGTAATCACGGTAAGCTCACCTGATGAAAATTTAAGAGAAGTGCCATGAAATCCAAACAAGTGCCAACACTAAGCCATGCACACACAGTAAATGTGCGACCTAGCTCAACCAGTGGCACTTTAAAGACAAGCTTTAGACTATGATAGCTACCAATTCCAGCTCTACAAGGGTAATCAACGTCAATGTTCACAACATCTCAACAAGTTAAAGTGAACTTACTTCTCATTCCATTCTAGGTAACATGCATTGTATGAAACAGAATGTTAAACATGGTTCTCTATTATTTAATTTATGATTTGAAATGTCTAAAATTGTTTGTTTACTTTAATTTTTTTTTTTTTTTTAAATCTCTATTATGTTCATAATTTTGTGTTACTTTAGAATATGTTTTTAACAGGATTATGATTTATGCCTTCAGGCTTAAACTTCATCATTGGATATCTAAGGCATTGCCTTAAACTTTGGTCTCAATATAAACCAGTTAGTGAATAAACAAAAGAAAGAACCATCATTTCTAGAAAAACGAACTAAACCAGCATGACCAAGATAAACCAACTGGTATAAACAACACATATGACTATATTGTAAGATGATGAGAGCAAAGGACAAAACACACTGAGACAGCAATCTAATATTTTGCTCTTTGTAAGTTGTAGTTTTTTATTTCTTCATTTGAAGAGGTTGCTTGGTATAACACCGGGGAGTTTGGATTCCCTTTCTTAAATTTCTTAATTGGAAATCCTTGTTGAAATCCTAGACAGGTTCATTTTAAGGGTCACTTGATCAAAGAGAATTGGAAAAATATTCAAGATTAGGTTCACTTAATGGAATCTTTGTGGGAGATAACTCATCGTTTAGCTTCATTTTGGGCTCTTTATCACCAAAATTTTCAAAACATATTGCTTTTAATTGATTAGATTTTAACATCTTCCTCACAGAGTTTAAGAAGGACACCCGTAACAACCCATTTTGCAGTGCATTCTCTACCCAGTCTACATCAGCTAGATAATTGCACAAAACAAATTACAGAATGACAATAGCAAGCAAGCAAATATATGGCAGCTGATATGTCCATCACAACTAGGACAAGAAAAAAACAGAGAAAAAGATTACAAGATAAAGAAGCAAAAACAATTCTTCAAGTGAAGAACAAAAAGTCAAGCAGAGTCTTGAAGAATAAATATGTGGTGAAAATGCTTGACAAAATGATCCTGTATGTTTCAACATAGCCATGGCAAGCTCATAATGACCTTAGAAAAGAAACTCGTTGAACCTTCATCTGGAGGAAGTTTTGACAAATTCAGTTTCACCGTGAGGTTAAAGCCATCTCTTGGAGGATCAAGAATTTGTAAGATGACACCATATGCAGCTTTTATAGCTTCTATCGCTCCAAGAGGAAGTCCACCAAAGAAAACAGTTTCTGGAGGCGGTGTGGGTAACGATACTGATAGCAGCAGGAGCTGTGGATTCTTCATTGATGTCTACAAAGTATTTTGAAAGCAGAATCCATTAGTTTTTCTGTTTTTCCTAGAATACAACCCCAATATATATATATATATATATATATATATATATATACCGGAAAACTATTTAAATTAATTTATGCAAGTTTCTAATCGACACATTTATCTACGAATGATACTCTTAATTCCCCATAAATGTCAAAACAAAATAATATAAAAAGGTCACCTGAACATGGTAACGAACATCATCAAATTCAACCCAATGGCAATCCAATTCAACTCCTTTCTCAAGACTGTAGAATCAACAAGGAAAATGTTAGCATTCTGTAAAACGTGACTGATCATCAGAGCAAAAATGATAAAATCAAGTATAACGAACATACTCGGTAGCTGTTAAAAGAAGGGGGGGTAGAGGAATAAACAGTAGCATAATTCAAATATAGTAAGTGTTAGCAACATCAAATATTCAAGAAGCTTGGAAGTAAATATCTATTGTCTACCATGTAGGAAGGTAGATAGTAGTCGTTAAACTCATGACCAAGTGCCAATCCCACTCGAGGAGAATGTTGGGAGGAAAAGACTTGAGATAAACCACAACTAGCATTACTTTGGACAAAATAACTGCTCTCAAACTAAAACGTGTTGTCACACTAGTCAGCCTGAGCTTTTACCATCACACCAAGCAATAGCCCCACAAAGACGGAAGTTGGTATCAGAAGAAAATCTAATAGCTATGAAGCACGAATATGGATACGGGAAACAAATACAACAAATTACAGATACAGCGATAAGACAAATCTCAAAAAGATAAAATACAGGTAGCGGGTCATGACACAATCACCGGCCACCAGCAAACGCTGGAAAACGACGACCAAGGGCTCTCCCTAGAACCCCTCTTATCATGACTTTTTTTGCCTTTTCTCTCTATTTCTCTTTCTAGAAGTGATCTGTCTCTCTCTCTCCAATACCCCTCTCACATATCAGCAAGCAGCAACCTAAGACTCCTCTCTTTGATGATTCGGCCTTCTACAAGTTGCACTCCCTCTCTCTACAATCAGATCTGTGAGTTGTTCCAAGGTAAGAATCAATCTCTCATGCTCTCATTGGTTTCCATCTTCTTTGTCGATATGTGTGCTCGTTGATGTCTGGTACAAAACTATGTGGCTAAAAAAAAATCTGTTTCTCTCTAGCTCTCTTTCCTCATGGGTATCACAGTATATTCAAATTTTTAGTGCTAATTTTAGGATTAAGGAGATTCACCGGGAAAGGAAGCAAAAGTAGAGATTATTGAATTTATACTGAAGTTTTATTTCATAGAAATGCATACAATTTTAGTTCTTGAATCTTGACGCTTTCAAATTTGAATTTGGTTTACAGATTTTAGTTTCTTGAGATAAGCAATGTAACCTATTGTGATTTTTCAGTAGCTTCATATCTTGAATCGATCCAACAATGAAGTTCATTCTCAGTTTTGGTCAATAATTGCTACCTCTATTGTAGCAGATATCTAAAATATATTTTGTTTAGCAGTTAGATGACATTCATTCTAACAAAATGACATTCATTCTAACAAAATGACATTCATTCTAACAAAGCGTGCACAAGACTAGATAGACTACTACAGCAGTATCATTCTGTTACATGTTAAGAATGTGCACTAATGACTTGGGGCTACTATAGTCTACTACTGTAGTATCATTATTTTACATGTTAAGAATGTGTACTAATGACTTGGGACTGCTAATATTTTAAATGACTTGGACTATTTCAATTGAGTTCTATTTCTGAATTTGTACCTTTTGCTCTCTGAGAAAGAAACAATATTAATATCAACTGGATGATAACAAGTTGGGATGTTTCAGGTATAGATGTTTCAGGTAAAAAGTTTAAGTGATATATATCTGTGTGGGTGTGCGTGCACCCCTAATCAAGTAATGTCCCAAATTTATTGCAATTTTTGCGTTTGATGTTATTGTGCAAAAAAATAAAAAACAATTGGCAACAATTTTACATACCCAAACGTGTTCTCCAATCTGTGTTTTGAGATTCAGTGCAACATTTGTACATGCTAAACATGTTTTTCTCAACAGTATGAGCAAAACAACACAACAGTAAGTATTTTGGGGTAAAACACTTGCACAAAAGCAGTGGCAATTCACGACCCCAAAACAAAGTGTCGTGTTACATGTTTTTGGTTCCGCCTAAATAAGCTTGGCTACCATAAGACACTGCCTGGGCTGTGCAACATGAGTTTCAAAATTCCATCATTTCTCTATCCCATCAGTTTTACCACAACCAAAGAATATTCCTTTTTACACACATCTGCCTCCAACAAACAAACATGAATGACCCATTACCCAGGAACATGTCCTGAATTCGAATGCAAAAAATATCTATATTTTCTCTCCGTAACCCTCTCAGTTGAAATCATGTGGGTAGCCTGAACAAACCATAAAATGCAAGCAACTGTACAGTGTTGCTCCTGCTACTCAGTGGTCTCAGCCTAGAGCATTGAGCATTGTACAAGGACGTGCTATAGGAGTAACCCATTACCTTCTGGGGAATTATCACAACATGGGCGTTCTACTTAGCAAGAATTTATTGCAGTGGGATAATGGGTAGAAGGATTTAAAAGGCATTATGGGATTAAAATTCATATGCAGACTCACAGACATATACCAACATAACAATGTTTTTTCCAAAACAGAATAAAAAATATATATATATAATCTACAGCATACCATGGTCAAAATCTGAACAAAGACTGTTAAGTTGCATTGAATATTTGAATGCTGATGATTCAAAAAATATGCATATATATACATCTTAAGGACGTGTACAGAACTATATACATAAAAAAGGCAATGAAATCACAAACACAGAGAAAATGCACAAATTGGGAGATGACAAGAAGACGAAGAAAGGGGCAAAATGGAACTTACTTCTCAACCCGATTTGACAAGATCTGTAGGAGGTACCTCGACGGAGACTGCAATAGTATCATCGATTTTACGATTTTCTCTCTCTATCAAATTCTCTCTTTCTCTCTCTAGACGGAGCTACTGAGAGATCTTCGTCTCTCTTTGCTGTCGGAGAGAGCTGACAATTCCAAGGGGCTCAGGTGACGTGTAGAGACGGTCTACCGTTGCATATAAGAATCCTAGAGGTCCTTTGCACTAGTAGTCCCTGTTCTCTGTGTTATTTCCGTTTGTCGCGTAGTATTATTATATTATTGTTTTGTGTAAATTACCATTTAATCCCTGGGGATCAGAAAACTACAGCCTCTTCTTAATTCGGTTATTGGAAGAATTTTTTTAAAAAAAATTATAAAACAAAAAAAAAAAAAAAACAAACTAACTAATTTCAGAGAGTAATGAAATAAAATTCTCTCAATTCAATTTTTTTTTTTCTCATAAAATTGTCAACAAACTTCAAAGCATTTCTTACATCTGCTATAATAAATTAAATTGATTAGTTCTATTTTCTTATTCCCTTTTTAGTATGCTAAATTAAAAGTTGAAATTATCATTTATTTGAATGTTCATTATCTCAAATTAAATGGATTAGTTCCATTTTCTATTCCCTTTTTAGTATGCTAAATTAAAATTTTATTTTTTTATATTTATTTGAATGTTCATTATGTTGGTAATAAGTAAAGTGATTAAGAGGGATATCAGGACATGGTTACTGGACAAGAGTAAAAAAATTAAAGATGGCTCTCATTACTTCATTAGTGAGCAAATTAAGAGAGTTGACTTATAAATGAGTTCAACACTTTATATGGGAGACTTATGGTATGTTTAGTTGGAGGGGAGAAATGGGAAGGGATTGATGAAAAGGGGATAAAATAATTCCTATTTTGTTGGAGGGTAGAGAAAGGGGGAGAAAATAAGGAGGATCGTTTGTGTTTGTGTTTGTGTTTTTTTATTGATTCAAAATTAGGAAAAAAGGAGAGAGTAAAAAAGATTATAACTAAAAAATACTTATAAAATTTACATTTTTAACATTTTAAAAAGTCTGGTTGTTAAACCCTATTACATAAAGAAGGTATATTGGTAAATTAATATAAAAACAATGGGCTTGTTTGCAATGAAAACAAATTTATTTTCTCAAAAAATTGAAAATTGTAACTTCTTCAAATTCAATAGATGTATGTAATTTCATATATGTGGCTTCAAAATAGAAAATACACTAAAATCCATCAATATTTTGTCTTTTATATTTGTTAAATATTTATTTTTCATATAGTACAATTTTATATGTATATATATATATATATATATATATATATATATTGGAAAGTTAATGCAATTTATTCGTACACCTACCTCCGTTTTGAACCTGACCTCTCTTTTTAGCTTATTATTTTGTAATTTTTTTTCCCTTTTTCCCTGAAAACTAGTGCATATTCAAAAGCTGGTTATGAAGTTCGAAGGTTTTTTTTTTAAAAGGGATGGATATTATCATAAATAAAAATAAATAAATAAAAACATTATGGCATGAGCACTTAATTTTCTTCAGCATTCTAACTTTAAAATTGTTTATTACGATTGTATGAAAATTAATTTGGTTAATTGGGGGTATATGTGAGATTTACGCCGTTACACAACAGTCTCCTGTCTCCAGAAGAAAAAACGAGGAGCCTTGTCTTTACATAGAACAGGGAAGAAGTCCATGGTGGCGATGGAAGCCAGGCGAGGGAGAAGGTTTGGGAGAGGACCGAACCAAACCCTCCTACCCCTGCGTGTCACGCATCAGTCCAACACCGTCTCCTGTTGGTCCGTTTCTCTCTCTCTCTTTCTCACTCTCTTATTTCTTTCTTCAATTTCGTATCACGATTTAGTCTTTTTGCAACTCACACAGGTACTGCGACTTCAAGATCTCATTCTTTAACGAACCACTATTCGCTTTTGGTCGAAGACATGCCAGGTTTTGTCATATTAACTATAATATCATCTATACAAGTTTGTTTCACTTTTTTTCAAGCACCCTTTTGCTGATTATTGGATTTTTTATTTTTATTTTATTTTTTTCAATTTCAGTTATTTTTCTGTTTGAATTTGAGTTTATTGGGTATATAGTTTCACTTTTTATGAGTACCCTTTTGCTGATTATTGGATTTTTTTATTTTTTTATTTTCAAATTCAGTTATTTTTCTGTTTGAATTGGAGATTATTGGGTATATAATGATACTGTCTTACAGGTGTTTGAGAGTTTGGTTTTCAGTGGGCATTGGTTTTAGTCTAGCAGCACTGCTTGGAGTTACTATGGTCAGAATAAAACCATGCCATGCTTTCTTTTCTCTTTCATTTTCACTGTCAAATGTCTCTCTAATTGCTATGCTCATCATCATTTTTTTTTTCCTTCTTGATTACCGGCAAACAGATTCTCCTATGGGAATTAGCAATAGCTTTGCATTTGTACAATGGGAACACACGGTTTAGCAGGCTTTTGACCGGCTCGTTGTTTGGGCTTTCCCCTTCGGTTAGTGTTTGATATTTGCTTTATTTGATGTTACAATGAGAAGGATCAATTTCTACAAAAGTAGAAGTTTGTCCCCCGTTTGTGTCATTAGATATTGATTACTGTCTATCCATGGGCATGTCATTCGTGGCACTAGTATTCCTTGGAATTGAGATGGTTTCTGGGGTTTGTGGTAAAAGGTACCCTAATCATTTCAAATAAAAAACTCAATAATTTCGTGTCATTGCTTGATGGACCCTTTTTTTCTTCAAGCACATGATGTCGACTTTGACAATGCAATAAGTACAGTTTATTTGTTTTGTTCATGAGGGAAATTGTAGTTAGTTGAGTTGAAGCTTATATTTAATAATTTACAAATTGCAACAAATGCACACTGCCAGTAAAAAGGGGGAAAATAAAGAAAAGGAAGAAACTAAAGAAAACTTGTGCAATGGCAGGCTTCTTGAGGAAGCATCTAAGAATGCTCTCTCTTTCCCATTGAAAGGGGAAAAAAAACATGAAAACAGAATCATGCAAATGAAGGATCTTATCGAAGTGTATTAAGAGATCCTTCATGAGTTTATTTTCTTTTTCTTTTTATTTTTAGATGATTGGGCTTGATCCCTGGTGTTTGCTCCATAGAGTTATCACTGGGCCAAGATATCTGTTGGGTTCTTTTTTCTTATTATTAATTAATTATTTATAAGTATGATATCTGTTGGGTTCATAATCTTTCTGAGATGAACGGAAAAAGAAACAATCTCATAGAGAAAAACAAACAAAATGAAGAAATTACCGAGCTAGAGGGGTAAAAGGAAAAGAAAAGTAAAAAACTTTTGAAAATTTCGGGATGCTTTTGTTCATGTAAAATAAATGAACTACAAGATTAATCACTTAACTGGTGTTGCATGTGTAAGAAGTCAGGTCAATCTGTGAACCACCTTTTGCTCCATTGTCCTGTGTCGAGGAATGTTTGGTCTATGTTTGTGGTTGCTTTTGGTCTGATCCGGTTTTTCCAGAATCCATGTGGACGTGTTAGAGGCTTGGAAAGGGTGTACAATCCAGAGCTGAGTCAGAAATGCTTGGAGGGCCCTCCCCTTTGTTTATGGTGGGGTCTGTGGTGCGAGTCTCCTATTTGGTCTCTCAAATACAATACACATTTTTTTTTTTTTTTGAGTCAATGGGCGGAATTGTAAATCTATGGATCTTCTTTTGGATTTTGTGGATATCTTAAAATTATAGTGTTGTCGTGAATGGGTTTTGTGTTTTTTTGGGAGTGCTCCCCTCTCGAGCGCCTTTAATGAAATCTTACTTATCAAAAAAATAAATTAAAAAAAATAAAAAATTTCTGCAGTGATAAATTGTTTGTATACATTTTGTATTTCTATATCTGCATGTCACTTGGATGGCCAACTAGTATTTATTAAACAAGTAGAATTGATATGGTTGCCTATGGTTGTGCTCTTGGGTTATGTTCATTTTTTGAGTTTTGATTTAACTTGAAGGTTTCTTTCCCAACTGTAAAACATAAAATCCTTGGTTTTAATAAGTGCAACCATTTTTGAATCAAAGTGTATCGCCAAATCAACCTCTAGAATTTGCATAACTAAATTAAACTTCAATATCAGTTACCCCACCATTTCCAAACCACCGCAGCTCATAATTGTGAATTTTGCCGAGAATAACAGAGAGAAGAATTCCAGTCGTATATTGTATTGCTGTGTAAAACTGGTACATAATGATCAAGTACAAGAAGAATAAAATATGCCCTAAACTAACTAAAGCAGGGAAAGTACAATAGTGCCTAAATTAATTCACAATGTGACCAGATGGTGCAACTGCTGCTGTGTAGCCCATCATTTTTTTGCCAGTAGCCATCTTTGAAATTAATTCAACCAATTGTTTTTACAAAAATGCAACCAACCAACTGTTACTACCCAACTACTGTCCAAATTCTGCCCCATACGCAATGGTGCTAAAAGATGGTCTTGAATGCCAAGACACTGCGATGAACTGATTGCAGAACTCGAACAGAACTGAAACAACAGGTGCAATGGTGCAATACAGCTGTGAGAATGTTGCAATGCAATACTGTGATGAGTTGCGATCGCTGCAGAAAAAAAAAAATGCTGCGAAACTAGGGTTTGCAATTGAAAAGTTCAGGGATTGCGATTATGGTCGAAGACACATGCGATTTATTCTGCGATTCTGATTCCGATATGGTTGCTGGTTCGATTGAATAGAGAAGACAAAAATCCACTGTTGCAAGGTGCCGTGATCAACGGAACAAAACTTGCAAAGTTGCGATTGCAGATTCTAGGGTTGCGATTATAATGCATGGTCTTGCAATTGCGATGAAGAATAAAAGTTGTGTGCTAGAAGCAATGGGATTCAAGTATTGCTATCCAATCGACAGGTGAAGACAAAACCAAACGTTGGTGAAGACAAAATCAAACGAAGCCAAAATCGAATTTTGTTACTGTGATTGAAATCATATGAATCGTTTCTGTAATCGTTGCTGCTGTGCGATGAGATGCTATGCGATGCGATCAGATTGAACACATAAATAGAAACAGATGCGATGCGAGGTTGTGCGAACAGAGCCAAGCTGTCAAGGTTAATGCAGAGATGTGTTGCAATTGTCTGCGATTAGGGTTTGCTATTGATGATGCGAACTGATGGTGGGATTGAAGAGTTGCAATAGACTATGCAAACTGAACCAGAAGAGAAGCTATTACAGTTGCAAAGAGAAAGAAATCTGATTGTGAACTGATTGCGATTGCAGCCCTGCTCTGATACCATGTGAATTTTGCTGAGAATAACTCAGAAGAAATCCAGTCGTATATTGTATTGCTGTGTAAAAGTGGTACATAATGATTAAGTACAAAAAGAATAAAATAGGCCCTAAACTAACTAAAGCAGAGAAAGTACAATAGTGTCCTTAGTAAGATAATAACTCCTTTAACAATAATGAGATATTGTGTGGCTACAGATGGATAGGAGACTGTAGATTCAAATAGGGTCAATCAACTCAATCCAGGTTCTAAGAATTAATATATACTGGTTAGCATGGTTAGAGTACTTTGGACTGTAAGCCCTGGAAACAAGCCTGTTTCAAGAGATCCTAGTTATGTACTTGATATTCAGGCTTGTTGCCTGTCATCTGTATTTCGTTATGTAATAATTAACTAATTCTATCATTTTAGTAGAGATTAATTTAACTGTCACTCCCATGCTAAAATGCCATATAAGACTCATTATCGTCTCCTATGCAGGCCTTGGGATTGAGCGTATCAGTCGCTGATGTTGGATATCTGTTAATATCTACAATAATATCCGTAACTGCACATGAATTTGGACATGCACTTTCTGCTGCGAGGTTAATTTGTTTTCTCTCTTTCTCTCTTCTTTTTTTCCTCATCTTGGACTTTCTCGGATTCGCTCTTCTCACACATCATTTAATGCAGTAAACCAGTTAAACGATACATATTTTGTTGATGAAGGATTGTTGTATTGCGTAGGACCATTTGATTGAGCAATCCCATGTATGGACTAGCTGATGGGCTTATACACTTCTGTTGGCAAGACCGCAAGAGTAAAGATTTTAGTAAAAAAGGGGTGTGGGGGGTATCCTACGTACCATAAACGTGTAAAATTCAATGGCTTAATGCATACATATAACACATTTCTAGGAACCATTGTACTTTTATATGTATAATATATAATAATTACCAATTTGATTAAATTCTAGTAAGTATAATAAAAAACAATTTAAAACTAATACTTTGTTTCCATGTTGTTAAATTAATAAATAAACAGTAAACATATAAATAAATAAACAGTGTTTCTCCATCTTTTAATATATTATAAAAATTTAGGACTTTGGGTGACAAATATGTTCTGTGCCAGCGTTTATATATTTGCGTATTTGTATTATTACCAACATTTTCAAATAAGTAAAGAAGAGTTACATTGTATTCTTTAATTTTTTGTGATAGCTATTAAGGCTTTCCTTGATGCCAAGCAAAGCCTCAAAGCAATTCTCCTAGAAATTTAGCGTTAGTTGTGGATGAAGTATATGAAATTTTCTTTCGTCTCTCTACGAGTCTCGAAAACTTGACCTGCGGCTTGGAAGTTAAGAGCCAATGCCCCCAAAACAGAGGTAGACCGGCAAGTATATGACACATTAGTTTAAGCAAATGTAAAAGTTTATGCAATAGTTTCTTATGTATAGTAGCAACTGGATTACAACTTTTTTTATGTCAACTCCAGTATACAGAGAGAGATTGAATATAGGAGTTTAAATCGGCTTATTCGTTCTTTTATAAATATTGGTTCATTGAAATGGATTATGCAGGAAGCATTTGCTTGCATAAAAGATTAGTTGCTTGGTGCGTCCCTCTGAGACTATAAAATATGAAAGCAGGGATGACGAATTCTGATGTTTGACCAAAAGTTAATGTGTTACATAGGATTAATTTGTAAGTAAGTAAGACTTTTCTGATGTGAAACCCAAGATTGGTTCTGTTTTGGGTATATATCAATAGTAAGGTTACTGTGAGAGAGAATCATCTTCCTTATGAGGAATAAATCAATCTAACTCCTACGATATAAAAGTTGCATCTTTTGAGTTAGTAAGCTAAAATCTTAAGAATTGACAAAAGTCATGGAAAAGCAGAGAATATAAAGACCCCGTACTGATGAACCTTAATATATATTTTTATGTTTGTTCCCAGGCATAAAGACAAGAAAAGAAAAATCTCAAGCCAATGATAGATGCTAGAATAACTGAAAGAATTCCAAATAATTTTGGTTGCTAAACCATCATATAAGTTTGCTGGATAAAAAGGAACTAAAACAAAGTTGTGTGGAGGCTATCTAAACAGATGGTTTACATCATCATTCCTGTTATAGACTGAATTTTTAAATATTTTGTTGCCATTGCTTCTTGCTTTGGAGAACTGCTTGGTTTTCTTCTTGAAGTCATTATTTAAGAAAGAAAATTTCTTGTTTGGAGTTGCTGCTGGAGGTGTATGATGAATTGACTTTATGAGGTAGTATGATTTGGTTAGAGAAGACATATCCACTTGGTAACCACAAAGCTAAGACTATGGCCCGCATGCCACTGGACTAGATTTTTTGTTCCAATGGAAAGAGTCCATGGCAGTTACTCAAGTCTTAGTTTTTGTTTGTTTTTAAATTATTATGCTGCTGCTATAGTTTTATTTATGATTTATCAGGCTCTAATTACTGGGTAGTTTTAATTTTTTTTTTATTTACTTGACAAGGGATGTAATAGTGTTTCACGAGTCTTATTCTGGGTTGAGTTATGTTATTTATGGCTTATACATTTTCTTTAATAGTCTAGAATTGTGTTTAATGGTCAAAGTTCCTAAATTTTCTATTTTTTAGTCCTAGTAACAGTAGGAGAGGCGCAGCTGTAATCTTTCTCACCCCCCCCCAAAAAAAAAAAGTCTTCTATACCATTATTCAACCTTAAACCACTTCCCTACCTTTTGGCCTCTAATATGTACTTAAAATATTTAAGTACTTGCTATCCAGAGATTCCAGTCTAATATTTCTTCCTTGAAAATCCAGCAAATTATCACCTTTTCAATCAAGCAGATCCTTTAATTTTCCTGAATACTGCAGCTTTATTAACTTTCAAAAGCCTAAATTTACTAACTTTTCTTGACCCTAAGCCCACCAAAAGAGTAATTGTAGGCACCTTATCCCACAAATGGAAAGCATGTTACAAAAATTTTCATCGATTTCCAGTTTTATTGAACATCCCCAAAGGAGACAATGAGACATTAAGGATTAACAATTCTATGCTTTCTAATTCTGACTGTCGTAGCAAAATGTAAAAGTGTTGGCACTGCACCTATAAGGGAGGGGCGGGGTTAGGGGTTCATTTATTGTGCTATCAATCATGGTTGTATTAAGAATCTCTTCCGTGGAAAAATTTGATTTTAATTAAAATGTATTGCAGTGGCGTGGAAGTAGAATAAAGGACCATAAGTCTTTTGTAATTTGCACTGGATTTCTGAAGTTATATTAGTTCTCACTAATTTTTAGCAAAGAAACTAAGTATTTTAACTGAGGTAACCATATGCTTAAGTTCATCTTTTGAATACTACGTTGTCATTAGCGTACTGCATACTTGTCAAATTCATATGATAGATATGATGTTACCTATCAATTCCAAAAATTTTGTGGCACTGTAATACAGATGGATATATATTGTGGGAGATTGGGAGTTTATTGTACGGCTAATTGATGCTTATTGACAACATGTTGCATTATATTTACTGGGAAAAGAAAAACATGCTGCACTTAGAGATAGTGGCAACGGGGTTGACAGTGTTAAAATTTTCTATTCAATAAAAGAACAATTGTAAAACTTTTTTAAGACCTTAGGTTATAAAAAAGTTAATTTGGACCTTTATTTTGTTTATTATTATATTTTTTTTGGCAAGTTTAATTGTTCCAAAGTTCTGTCTCCTTGTTCATGTTACCAGAAAATTATCCTTACTAAGTTTTGTCTCCTTTTTCATGTTATTGCGTCTCCTTTTATTTTCTTATTGAAAAGATAGTTTGAAAGTGGAAAAAAGGGAGAAAGAAATAGATACCCTTTGGCAGATGGCATTTGGTTTTTGTATTTTGAGATGAAGTCATGCAATGGAATATCATGTTTATTATCAAACCTTAAATCTTCAATGTTACAAAATATGACTGCGTGTCTGTGTCTCCATAGGACTTATATATTTTATGAAATTGGTTGCATATTGTATTGTTATATGCTTTCTTCTTACTGAATAGATGCCTGTTATATTCATTTACCTTTTCTTAACCAAATTATAACCTTATCCTTCATGCATGACACCGCATGGTAAATGACACATAAATAGTAAAACTGCGTAGGATATAGCGTATGAATTCCTAATTATTGTTACGAATCATGAACTTTAATAATTGCCACTTGATTATGCAAAATATGGGCTATTTGATGTGTTTACAAGATCTTATATCCGAATATGTAGAAGGCATTATCTCTGACTGGTACTGTAGGAATCACTTACATGGAAAGCAGTGAGGGCATACAAATAGAGTATGTTGCCGTGTTTTTAGCAGTTATATTCCCGGGAGCATTGGTGGCTTTCAATTATGAGTTGCTAAAGGCAATACCACGCTTTGCGGCCCTTCGCATATACTGTGCTGGTGTTTGGCATAATGCAGCAGTGAGTGCACATAATAATAATTCATCATGCCTGTGTTATTGACCATTTTTTGGCTATCTCATTGTGTTGTTTAATCTTTGGCTGATAGCCTTTAACTTTCACTGCAGGGTTGTGCTGTTTGTGGGTTGTTACTATGTCTCCTTCCCCTGATCTTGTATCCATTTTACGTGAATGGAGAAAGCCCCATGGTACTTCAGCATGGTCATGTGCTTGTACTTTAAGGTCATTTATTATTTCTTTTTGCTCATTATCATTCTTCTCATTTTAACCATTTATTGTTATAGGTTTTGGATGTGTCTTCTTCTTCACCTTTGTCTGGTTATTTGTCACCTGGTGATTTGATCATTTCATTGGATGGCATGCGAATCCATAATGTACAAGAGTGGATGGAGATGGCATCTCTATTAGATGAGCAGGCACTTCAAAACTCGAACAGTTCCAATGATTTTAACCGCTTCATGACAGTCAATGGCAGGAAGGGGTACTGTGTCCCCAGTCCTTTGATGGAAGAGAGTAAAGACATTCAACTGATAAACAACGGATCTATTTGCCCGAATGAGCTAACTGCATTTGTTACTATTTCATGCTTTGATCCAATTGATGGTAGCGGTGAGGACGATCATCAAAAGAGCAGAGAGAGTATTCACTGCTTGACTGCTAAGGACATAGTCAAGCTTAAAAAATGTGGTGATGGATGGATGAAATCTATCAGCAATAGTAGCAGCTGTCCATGTTCAGAGGTATTGTTTGCATGTGTTGTAATTTTTAAGTGATTCACTAATATGATTGTAGATACACGCGCACGCACACACACACACACAGAAGAAGAAATGGGAAATGTTTGTGTGTGTGTGTTTCTCTGTTTGAAACATGAAAGGAAAAGCAAAATTTCAATGCAACTTATGACACTTGCGATGAACCCAGGATGAGTACTGCCTCTCTCCGGTCAAGATGCCAGGTCTAACATGGGTTGAGATAACATATTCAAGCCCTTATTCTTCAGAGTGCCGATTTGAAAAAAATCCGTTTCCAGGTCTTGAGAATTCCGACTTTGGAGGAATGAACTGTGGTGGCACCTTTGTTTTCATTGGTGATGTGATCTCCATGGCACATTCGATTCGGTTAACTGCATATCGACCTCGCTGGTCGTTTGCTTTTGGAGCATATTTTCCAGATGTCCTGGAAAAGATTTTGATGTGCACATTTCAAGTCTCCCTAACGCTAGCTCTTCTCAATAGCTTGCCGGTATGTCTTCATGCCATTTTTGTTTCCGTATATTCCAGTACATAAATTACTTTCAAATTATATATGCGCCCCACATAGAATACCTGTACAGACAAGTGCACGAAGAGATCGCTATTGACAGTCATTTATAGACCTTAGAAAAAAGGAACAAGAGCAAGAAAGAAAGAGAGAAAAAGTGCTTCATCTCCGTGTTCAAAAAAATGACTATCTCCCATGAGGTAAAGTCATTTTGATGGATTGCCTGTGCAATGAATTTGATTGTTCAATTGACAGGTCAATTTTGATAGGTGGATGAAAGCCCACAAATTAAACTGCATGCCAGGTTGAAAATTACAGTATTGGCAGAAAGTTTTTTGGTTTGTAGTTTTGAATTGATGTAGTCAAGTAAAGGTATTTGGAGCAATATGTAGCCTTTCTGTTTTCTTGATGTCAGGTCTCTAGATTTAGCACTATTTATATTGTTCTTAAGGTTTGATGTGGAAGGGTTAGGGCTGATTAGAGATTGGTTAGGTAGAGTTTGTTCCTATTCCATGATCAGAAAACCAAGAACAGTGACTTTGATTCTGGTGTGGGGTCATTGTTCTTGATCATAGGTTCCCTTGGTTGTTCAAGATTTCTTCAAGTAGACATGCTCTGGTTGCCGACTGTAATCGGCTTGATAGCGGGAGGTTGACTTGGGATGTGCAGTTTTGTAGAGAGTTTCATGATTGGGAGCTTACAGAGGTTGCTGAGTTCTTAGCATTGCTCTACAGCCAGGTGGTGGAGGGGATGGTTGAGATGGTGTGGGTGGGCACGCCAAGAGGGGTCTTTGAGGTTAGGGCTCTTTGTCATAGCCTTGTGGAGATTCCAGGTTACTCTTTCCCATGGAAGGCGATTTGGATGTTGAAAGCTCCCTTGAAGGTGGCGTTTTTCGCGTGGTGTGCCGCTCATGGTAACATTCTCACACTCGACAATCTCAGGAAGAGACGACATATCATTGTTAATTGGTGTTGTAAACGCAAGAGGACAGAGGAAACTGTGAACCATCTTCTTCACTGCTGAGTGGCGAGGGATATTTGGGCTATGTTTTTGGTTGCTCTTGGTATGTCTTGGGTGTTCCCAAGATTCACAGTGGATATGATTGAGGCTTGAAGAGGGTGTCTAGTGGAGGGCCATTTCTTTTTGTTTATGGTGGGGTTTGTGGCGTGAGAGGAATAGGAGATTCTTTGAAGGAAAGGAGACTCCTAGGACTCTCAAATATGGTATACTACATATTTTATTCTTTTGGGTTAATGGGCGTAATTTTAACCTTTTGGGGTATCTTTTGGATTTTGTGGATAGCTTGAAGCTTTGGTTGTTGCCTTTGGCGTCTTGTGTATTCTTTTGGGAGCGCTCCCCTTTTAATGAAATCTAACTTATCCAAAAAAAGAAAGAAAAAGAAAAAAGAAAAAAAAGGATTTTAGGATTGAAAGCAGCTAAATAAGGCCTGATTACAAGTACAAAAGCATAAAACCGAAGAAAGCATCGTATCATCATCCTCTAGGTTTCACTTTGGAAACCCTTTAGGTAATGCACCTAGGGTTAGGGTTGCATCTTCACAAGATTCCGAAAGGCTTGGAAAGATCTGAAAAACTTTTTGAACTGATGTCTAATGAACCTGTAAGAGTTTTATTTGTAAGTTTAGGCTACTAGAATTTCTTACTTTAGCTGGTGAGTTGATCAAGACTTTGACTCAGTTCTTCATCTAAACTAACTAAAAACACTATAAAAAGACCCAATAACCTAACCTGATCCTCCCTTGGACCACTACAACTCGTGCCAAGACTCAGAAATTATGAAAATTCTCTTGATCCCTAAAGCATAACCAAACTTGTATAATATTTAAACAACAATATATTAATTTAAGGCAACATATATGTAGATTTCAGGAACACTGTTCATTTTGTAATCTTTACTGAGTGGGCCCCACATCATTTAACATGTGCTGAACAACACTTGGGTCATATAATTATCCTTGTTTTGCCTTCTACACACTTTCTTGAGCACTGCATTTTATCATTACCATCTCCTGCTTGCTTGAAATTAACTCTGCATGGAATTGCTTGTAAAAGTCGTCTAGGTGTTGAAACTCAGTGTCTGATTAATTTACAATCTGGAAGTACATGTCATTTCCATTTGATGAGATACTTTTGATAACCACAACTTCATTTAGAAAGTCAAGAACTTCATCATCTCGTCCTGCAAATGTGGTGCTGATGGCATACTGATTGGAGCATCATGAGATGTGCCATTAAAATGATTGGTGTACTGAGTTAGAATGTTAATGTCGAAAAATTTACTTATGTTCATGTGTTAGTGTAAGTCAAGAACAAAGTATTGGATTTTAAGGTTGATATTTGTGATTTAAATTTTTTTCTTGCAAATATAAAATTGCAGAAAACTAAAAAAGGAAGGAAGAATAAGATATATCAGTTTGGAGCATCAATTTCTTATCTCATGGCAATTGGCAGACTACATCATTGAATTTCTCCTCTTCCTTGGGTGGCTGTCTAAAACGCAACATTATACGAATTTTCTCAATTACACTATCATGGAGTCAAAGTTCACACTTTTTCCTAAAATGAAGTTTTTAAAAATATTTACCCTTATCGCGACAAATATTGCGATCTAAGAACACAAGCAAGAATCACAGCAGAAACGTAAATGCGTCACACACAAAGAACACAAAGATTTATGTAGTTCGTTGTAAGCCTACGTCCACGGTGAAGATTCCGAAAAAAAATTCTTTATGCAAAAAATAGGAGATAAGTTTGAGCCCCCAAAATCTAGTGTGCTCTCTCTCTCTCTCTCTCTCTTGTGGTTTCCAGTGTTGTCTCATGACACACTCCAAACCCTAAACGCCCTTATGTACTGGGCTATAAGAGAATTCTAGAACCGGTTCCCCGACCCCATGAGAAAAAAAAAAAAAAACTGGTCAAAAAATTTTTGGGCCAAAATTGGATCACAATGCAGCCTGGGCCAAAAAAAAATTCAGGCTGCAACATCACAACCCTGACGTGGACTTTCACTATTCACCAAAATTTCATTCCATTTCTCCCTTTTTACTTTATGCACAAAATGACCATCATGCCCTCAAATTAACTTTACCAAATAAACACCTTTCTCTCTATATTTGTGTAACTGTACCTTTATGGTCAAACAATTGTATGTATCACCTAACAAAAAAACACATTTTATTGTATGGATACCACTGACTAGAGTCCCATTGAAGATATTTGGGTCTATTGAGAGTATTACAGTTATACTTTTTAAACCTTTCTTTAAGGCACAGTGGTGATGCAAAGAAAAAGCATATTTTACAAACCGTCATGTCTCTCTCCCTGTCTGAACTACGCTATGCAAAGAAAGGAAAAAATGATAAAGAATACTCAATATATAGAGTCCCATTGAAGATATTTGGGTCTATTGAGAGGAGAACAGTTATACTTTTTAAACTTTTCGTTAAGGCATAGTAGTGATTAAAGATCAATTGGGATGCAAAGAAAAAGCATATTTTACAAACCATCGTCTTTCTCTCCGTGTGAACTATGAGACGTGAAGAAAGGAAAAAAAGAAAAATAATACACAATCTATATACACCCAATTTACTTGTGTATTAAATTCATTTATCAAACGTTTAAGGATGGAAATAGCATAAAATAGATATGGAAGCTTTGTTTAGAGAAGTTGAAGTGCAATAGGAAAAGATGTGAAGAAATGTTTTCCTTTATATGAAATTTTTGAGGTTATCATGTCCAATAATGTGGTCCTTGATGCATGTGCGGATCATTTGAAGTGCAAGTGATTGGAGATTTTCAGATAAATAAAAATACTCACCACCCAGTTGGTAACTTTTTGGTTATAGTTCAATCGGTTGGTAATTTAGCAAACAAGTTACTAACCGATTGGTAATTTGCATGCAATAAGAGGAGTACATTTTAGCAGAAAAAGTGGTACAGGATGCAATAAAAGTGGCACATGTGTGCAGTAAAAGTCGTTATTGAAACCAAACTACACAATGTAATTTGAAATTTGGGTGTCGTTTACAAATATTTGGATGCCTTTTTATGATTTTTTTGAGTTTGACATTCCAATATTGCGGTCCTTGGTGCATGTGGGGTTATTTGAAATACAACAGGTTGGCTATTTTGAACTAAAAACTCATCAACTGGTTGATAACTTTCTGAACAAAGTTCAACCAATTGGTAATCTGATAACTTAAGTTATAGAACTGTTCGTAATATTGTGCAGAAAAAGTTGTACATGCCTTTAGAAAAATTGTACGTTGTAGTAAAAGTGGTACGTCACTTGGATAACCTAGTGAACTTAATATAATTGGATGCCTTTATATGAATCTTTGGGGTCCTCATCTTCAATAATGTGGTCATTGGTGTTAGTGTGCATCATTTGAAGTACAACTAATTGGTGATTTTTAACTAAAAACTCACCAACTGATTGGTAGCTTTCTGCCCAAAGTCCAACCGATTGGTAATCTGATAGCTAAATTTTCGAACCAGTTGGTAAATATTGTATGTGGGAGAAGTGGTACACACTTGCGAAAAAAGTGGTACGTCATTCAGTTAAAGTGGTGCATCATTGGAACTAACCTAGGTAACTTGATCTACAATTTTATTGTCATCTTGTTGACACTAAAATCGGCGGGCTAAAGCCGATTCTAAATTGATGTAATGCGGGCGTGCCAGAACCAATTATATTGACTATCAGGTGATGCGAAGAGAAAGAGAACAAATATACTCCTCTGTGAGTTCAGTATTGCCTGAATTAAAAGGACTTTAACAGTGAATAATTATAGTAACAATTTGAGAATAGAAAGGGGAGAAAATATAGATATAGAAAGTGATAGGGAGAAGGAATAGAAAAAGAAAAATAGAGGGAGAGAAATAAAACGAGACTAAAATAGAGAGGGAGAGAGATAGAGATAGCAGGAGAGAGATAGAGATAGCAAGGATGCTATTTTGGGAAAGGAGCTTGAGAAAGCAAACACAATGAATTAGAGATTCTGAGGGTGCTGGACCTCTAATTCAGCATGCCTCTTTGTTTATTTATAGAATAACATAAAAATAAATCCCTACATGCAAGTATTTTACTTGCACTACAACTCTATAACATACTTATCTATGAATTTAAATTAAACTAAACTATAGATAAACATTAACATTCAACGAATCCTAACTAAAAGATAAACATTGAAACAAATAATTTCTATCCAGCTTTGCATACAATCTGTGCAATTTGAATCCACGCCAAATGTATCCCCATCTCAGTCTAACTAAAGCCACGTCACTGTCTATGAAATTCTCAAAATGCTGTCGAATGTTCCATTTCAAACCGATGCCTATTGCCCACGGGTCACTTGCCCACGTGTCACATTATCCCCAAATTGGTTGACATGTCATTAATACAAAATTTACCAAAAAGGGTGTCAACAATACCCCCCAATTTTAAATGTCTTATCGGCTGTCGGCCACCCAAGCCAATAAGATATTTGAAATTTAAAGTAAATTGAAAGAAAATTTTGAACAAAGGTTGCGCTAGTCACTTGGAATCAAATTGCAAATTAACGAGCTCCAAAGCTTTATTTCTTCTGAATCACCTACAAGATGATCTTTGTTTCATAATAGCCAAATCTGCCGATTTAGGCTTCTTCCTAGATTTTCAGATAGTTTGCCGATATTGTCAGCCCATAAACCAATGAAGGACTTGCCCCCCATGCATTTTCCAACTCCGCTAGCAAATTATGATCATGATTGGCAGAAATTAAATTATTGTGAATCGTCATTCTAGCCGATCTGCCTATTAGTTGTACTAGATGAATGAAATTGTTCCAACAAGGAGTTTTCTTAGCTGATTTCCTTTCAGCCGATTTTTCCTCAGTCGATTTTACATTCAGCTCAATCGGCAGGACTGCATCATGCCCAAAAGTCCATTGATTGGCAAACATGACTTCACTATAATCGGCAGGCTGAAGTAAAGGGTATGAATCAACTAACTTTTGTTGGGAGTTTGCAATAACATGCCCCCCGGCAGCCGCTGGTAGTGCTGGTGGACCTTGCTGAACTACCTTGGCCTGGATTAGGGCTAAAACCTGAGCCATCATTGCTTTAATATCCTGATTCTCCTGTCGATTATCGGCAAGTGCCTCCTTAAATTCTCCCATTTGGAGATTTAGTTGGAATCTTATTTCTCCCATTTATTGATTTATCACCTGCCGATAATCGGCTGCTGGAACATGCCGATAATCGACTGTTGGCGTCTGTCGATAATCGACTGTTGGAATATGCCGATAATCGGCGGCTGTTGGAACATGACGATAATTGGCTGCTGGAACATGCCGATAATCGGCGGCTCTTGGAAGATGCCGATCATCAGCGGCTGTTGGCGTCTGCTGATAATCGACTGCTGGAACATGCCGATAATCAGCAACTGTTGGCGATTGCCGATAATCGGCGGCTGTTGGAACATGCTGATAATCACCGACTGGTTGCTGATAATTGTTTGGCCAACCATATGGCTAATTAGATTATTGGTACATCGGCTGATTTGACTGATTAGAATATTTGTATGTCAGTTAAGAAGCTGACTGCATATTTTTACTATAAATCACTCACCTAGTGGGGTCGCACCGGGCGTGCCAAAAATGTTGAAGCAAAAATCGGCTGGGTAAAGCCGATTCTAAATTGATGTAAGGTGGGCGTGCCAGAACCAATTATATAGTTTGAGTGTGAGTTGTCAACTTTAGTCTCTTTGAGAATATTGACTATCAAGGGATGCGAAGAGAAAGGGAACAAATATACTCCTTTGTGAGTTCAATATTGCCTTAATTAAAAGGACTTTAACAGTGAATAATTATAGTAACAATTTGAGAATAGAAAGGGGAGAAAATATAGATATAGAAAGTGATAGGGAGAAGGGATAGAAAGAGAGAAATAGAGGGAGAGAAATAGAACGAGACTGAAATAGAGATAGCAAGGATGCTATTTTGGGAAAGGAGCTTGAGAAAGTAAACACAATAAATTAAAGATTTTGAGGGTGCTGGACCTCTAATTCAGCATGTCTCTTTGTTTATTTATAGAATAACGTAAAAATAAATCCCTACATGTAAGTATTTTACTTGCACTACAACTCTATAACATACTTATCTATGAATTTAAATTAAACTAAACTATAGATAAACATTAACATTCAACTAATCCTAACTAAAAGATAAACATTGAAACAAATAATTTCTATCCAGCTTTGCATACAATCTGTGCAATTTGAATCCACGCCAAACATATCCCCATCTCAGTCCAACTAAAGCCACGTCACTGTCTATGAAATTCTCAAAATGCTATCGAATGTTCCATTTCAAACCGATGCCTATTGCCACGTCACTTGCCCATGAGTCACATTATCCCCAAATTGGTTGACATGTCATTAATACAAAATTTACCAAAAAGGGTGTCAACAAATCTTCACATATTTGGATTCCTTTATACGATTTTTTGAGATCCTCGTTTCCAATAATATGATCATTGGTGCATTTGTGTATCATTTGAGCACCAATGCTAATGGTGGCAGTGAGTTGAACCCTTCCATGCTCAAAATTTAGCATCGGTGTTAAATCTGAAATATTATATATATATTTACTCTTCTCACTGGCGCCCAAGTAAGGTTGCAACAAGCGTAAACTATTCCAACTCATAATCATCAAATCATCACCACTACATAAGTAGTCACAGCAAGCATGGAATTTCTGAAACTTGGGTCCAATACAAAAGCATCACGTTACAAAACTGATATCCGCTACTAAAATATACTCTGTCAGCAACTTTTGTAACACAACTATATTAAACTTCTTTCTGTAATAGAGCCTCATCACACAACTCCTCTCAATCTGGTTGCAAAGGAAGAATTGACTCTTTTGTTGGTCTATAAAATAGACATCGATTTGTACTCATACAAATACATATATATAGACATAAAAAATAAAAGGTAAGCAAGTAGGTACAATTTTGATCTGAAAAGTTGCCAAAAATATTGGACAAGGAAGGGGAGTCCTTGCTCTCCTGCCAGAAAAATTGCCACCATCGCTAGGGTTTGCAAATGGTTTGACCAGTAGGGTAAAAGTGAGATGTAGGTTTTTCTTTGTTAAAGTTACTTTGAGGACATTATGGTCATTTTGTGCATAAAGGGCAAAGTTGGAATGGAATTTTGGTGAAAGGTCTAAGTCCATGTCAGTGTAGGTATTTTACAAAACTCCATATTAGGAATAAGTATTGACTCTAATTCCATGACAGTGTGTACTTGGCCCCCAAAACTCCATCTATAATTTTTTTTCCCCTTATGTATAATGTTATTTGATATATACTGTGATACTACATAACACATTTGATGAATAATTATCAGAATGCACAATTATGGATTTAAAAATATTTGAATGTATTTGACATGATTTGTAATAAAATTTTAAATACATGGTTATATACATAATTTGAAATACATGCTGTTATTTTATATTTAGTACATGAACGAGATGGGGCAGGGATACCCCTTTCTAACTCCGCCAAATCCTCTTACGCGTTTCTTTTCTTTACCCCATTCCCATCCCAACCTTATTTGAGCTCCCTCCAAACCTGTCCTGTTAGGGTAGGGGGGGCCTAGAGGCAGGGCGGGTACCAACAGGAACGGAGCAAATTTCCATCCCTAGCATTGATAGTTTGCCTGTCAATTTTTTAGATGTATATGTTGTATTCCTCCTTAGTCAATCCTGCTTTAATGATAAGATTAAACATCATATTCAATTTCTTCCTCTTTGTGAATAATTGTGAATGTTAGCCTTTTGGTGTCTCTTTGACCATCGATATTCACTACATCCTTACTTTGAATTTCTAGTTTTGTTAAAGCTGCGTTCCATATATTCAATTTTATTTCTACTTGTCTCCTATGTAGTGCTTCTCCCTAAGCATCTAATTTAATACTTCTCTATTTTAGTCTTATCAGTTGAAACAATATGATTAGCAAATAGCACACGAAATATAAACTCGTTATAAACATGTTTTGTTAATTCATCCATAATTAAAGTAAAAGGATATAAACTTAATGTTGATCCTTAACGTATAGCCCTATAGTAAGTTATCTCCATGCTATTGAACAATAAAAATATCATTTTAGTGATTACTTTTTATATATTTACTTAAAAACAAAATCAAAGAACTTGCTTCATTTATGAACTATGTTCTTGTTCAAGTTGATATGTTAGTTGCCAGGCCAAATGTGGAAATGAAGTTGTTTCTGGAATATAAAAGGTGAATATGTTCGCTAAATTATACCCATTCTGTAAAATATGACAAATGAAATATTTCAATTTTGTTGAAGACATATATGTACAGAAGAAACTGATGTGTCCTTAAATTATGTGTATATCATGAGCCCGTGACCATGTACAAGTTTGCACCTTTCCGGGGCAATTAAGATTTGGTTTCAATCAAAACAATTTGAATTATAGAATCTGTGGGAACTGGATAATTTGGATTGAGTTATGGGCTTATGAGGCTGATGGTGTTGTGTTGATTAATAACCAAGGGTGGAAAGCCAAGCACATTTTATTGGCTAGTTTGATTTAGAGATGAGTACTTGTAATGCAAATCAATGATTGAGAATGTTTCATCTTATTGATGACACTCAAACCAGTTTCTAATTTTCTCTAATAATGGTATTTTGTTTATCAGATGTATTTTCTCGATGGTGAATCCATTTTGGAGGTGGCCCTATGCTACGTGAGCTTGCTGAGCCCAAGGCAGAGGAGAACAGTTCTTCAATTATGTCTATTGGGAGGGACCCTTATGTCCGTCCTTGCATTTTTAAGGATCTTCCTTTATAAATTTTGATTTATTCTTTTCTCAGAATGTGTTTCACATTATTAGCTTTTAGCTTTTCATCTTTTAAGTTCTTCTTAGTTAATAGTAGATTGCAATTTTTATGGTTTATGAGCCCAAAATATGAAGTTATACCATTGGCCAACTTAGGAGCTTCACATTCTTTATTGGGAGTGAAATCTCACATGTTGCTATAGAACAGCGTAAATTATAACTACTTTTGATCAGCCCAAAAGTAGTAGGAGGATGTTTCTCTACACTTCTGCATCTTCCACGGACACGCCAAAATGGGCGAAGAATCCGTGTCCGACACGTGTCGGACACGTCCCGACACGTGTCAGACACCAAAAAATGTGTCTGAAATTTTATTTTATTTTATTTTTAATTTTCGGACACACGTGTCTGGAAATTTTTATTTTTTTAAAAATTTTCAGTGCTGATATGTTCTTATTTTTTGTTTTGTACTACCCTTTGGGTATTGTAAATGGTAAAAGTCCTAAGTCAAATGATGGATGGGAAATGATGATAGTACATTGACTGGTTTTTGTATCTTTTTTGGGGACTAGACTTAGGTTTTTGTGAATGTTAAGTGCTAACAGTAAAGTCCTGAATGTTAATAGTCCTTTTTGTTTATGTTTTTGTATTTGGAGTAAAGTTGCAATGATGATTTAATGATATTAGTTATTATTCTAATGTCTTGTTTTTTTATTTGGTTTTATAGGTATGCAACATTGTTCTTTTATAGTTTATTAGTTATGAGTTATGATTTGTATTTTTTTTTTCATTGTGAGGTTGATGAAAAATAATAACACTCAATAATTTTTAAAGTATTACATCACACACACATATATACTATTTGCCGTGTCCGTGTCTTAATTTTTTTGGATTTGCCGTATCCGTGTCGTGTCGTGTTGTATCCATGTCCGTGCTTCTTAGTGAAGGACACTAGGTAATGCTGAATGTAAATTATTCATCCGTTAATCCCAAATGATAAGGAACTCGTTTAGTGGCATATGTCAATCCACTCTATTATCACCACCCAGGAACCTGTGTTCTTAGTCTATTGCAAGCTGCAACCCTAATGACTATACTTTTCAGAAAATAATCCATGGACATTTATCTGGCCAATACCTAGAACGCGTTTACAGTATGGGTTCTTGTGTGTTGGTTAAACTCTTGAAACAAAATAATTAGGATTTGATTTTGGACCGTCATTCGTCTTATGGGCCTAGAACACGGTTCTTTTCCCTCGATCCAACTTGTACCCAGGTAAGGTCTGTCTCAAGCCATCCAATGGATGAGACAGAAAAATATATTATTGTTCTTGCTGCCCCCACTCTCACACACGCATGCACACCAATGGATTGCTTACCTCTGGAATTTCAGTTCTTTTACCTGATATTTTTAGCTTTAAAGAAAATAATACTGAACTGAGACTATTTCCCACTTTGTGGCTGATTATATTGCATGGCATGCCTTGTCGGAGAAAGAGCTAATGGAGCAAAGAACTTATCTGCAAAATTTGATCCTGTTTTCGTGTTTTTGAGTCGTTAGATTTACTAATAACCCATTGAACAGATTATTTATTATTTTTTTGAGTTTTTAATATTCAATGTTGTTTCTTTACAATGAACTCAACTTCTGAATTCCTAACCTCTCTCAAATGAGATTTTGAAAGGCTCACCCAGCCCATGAAATCTACAAATCATGTATCTATATATATTAGTTTTTAATATTCCAAAGGTCATGTTAAGTGATTGGATTACTTCGTGGTATAAGGGCTGCAAGTTGGGCTGGCCCAACCCAGCCCAGTCCTAACCCAACTTCAATCCGAATCGGGTTGGGTTGGATCGGTTCGAATATTTTTGGTCGGGTCGGGTCGGGTTGGTTGACGGGTTGAGTTTTATTTATATACTAAGTATATTATATATATATATATATATATATATATATATATATATATTTGATTATATTATTATTAAAAAATAAAATATTTTTAGGGCAAATCATTTCAGCCTCCCAATCGCCTCCATCTCTATTCTCTCTGAACTTGCCTCTCTCTCTCTCTCTGTGCAACTGCAAACTACAAAATCTACAAGAATCAGAAATTCAAAACCAATATATTTCAGTTTTATCTATCTGTCTGCAAGAATCAAAAGTTTTTGCTTTTTTTTTTTTGAAAGGTAAGAATCAAAAGTTCAAAACCCATAACAGCATATCATTTCAGATTGTTCAAAAAATCAAAACCCATATCTTTTAGTTTCCATCGCCCACTGTTCCAGTTCGGGTTCGCCGTTCGCAAGCTTCAGCCATTGTCTCTCAACTCTCAAGCTTGCCCCCCTCTCTGTAACTGCTAACTTGTATGTATGGGTTTTGTTTTAATTTTTTTTTTTCTAAATCAATTAATCATGGTCCGTAAGAGGGGCGGCGACGGCAGCAGAGGGGACGGCGGCAGAGAGAGAGAGAAAAAAAAAAAAGAGAGAAAGGAGAGAGAAAAAAAAAAAAAAATTTGGGGTTTGGTTTGAGTCCAGCCCAACTCGAATATGTTTGAATTTTGACAAAATCCAACCCGAACATAAACCCGATTTGTGAATTTAAAGTCTTAATTTTAAAATTTCTGAGTTGTGCTTAGATTAGATTGGGTTAGCCAGCCCAAATTACAACCCTATGTATAAGGGTTATAATTACTTATAGAGCATAATACGTTTTGATATGTCGTCTCTTCTATTGTACAAGTATTTAAGCCTAGTTTTGCTTCATCTAGTGCATTGATATTGATTGATGTGATCAATAGTAAGTAGCTGTGAATTATAGACGTCTAGACACTATCTCATTACTAGGTGGTTGGAATGGGGGGATGAGTCACCTTTGGTGGGGTTAGTGTATTTCTAAAACCAGTTGTGGAATGGATAATTGATAGGAATCACTTTATTTCATAGCTTATTATAAGAAGTTGACCTATTTTGTAGTGAGAAACCGGATATTCTCTTCCTAGAATTGTTCCATTCATCAAAGACACTAGACAAGCTAGAACTTTAGAATTATGTGACCTTAATTAATGAGAGAGGATTTTGTTTTGAACCACAAAAATAATGTCTGTTCCTCGTTTTAAATTAATTTGACAACTGTATTAGAAAATGAAAAGAAACCAAAAACTATCTTGGTATGGATGATGGCTATAGGATACTGCGGAAGAAAATACCAAAAAAAAAAACTGTGTTGGTGTAGGAGTGATCCCTAAGTAGGGTTAAGAAATTAAAGGCTCAAAAGGTGATGTTTAACTTATTAATCTTAAAATATAGTTGCAGTTTCTTTGTCCAGTTCTTTTATGATCCTATTTTCTTACCACTTGCTGAAAATATCCCATACTTGATCTTGGTTCCCTTAACTATGTAGTCTATTACTACTTACATATCTTGTTCACTGATAATCAAGTTAATTATACCTGTAATTGAGAATCCAATATAATTAATTGGTCCCCCTGGGTGTATACCAAAATTTACATGAAAATACAAAGCCTTTGGAATTAAATTAGGCGGGTCACAAGGATTTAGACCTCCATTACCCAAATTAGGGTTTGATTATTAATTGAATGGGAAATCAGCATTGTTTATCAGGAGTAGGTTGAACCATGAGAAAATTAGGATTGATTAATGCTTATTTTGGTTTGTTGGCTTGGAATGAATGGATTTACAGTATGTTTGTGTGGAATTAGGCTGGATCATGAAGACACAGAAAATGCTAGCCAGAGACCTAAGATTAGGATTTGAGTTAGCGGGATTAAGTTGCCAAATGCCCAAATTAGTGTTTGATTATATGTTGGATTTACATTAGGGTTTATGTGAAGTTTAGGTTGGATCATGAGGACAACATAGAAAATGCAAGCTAAATAATTGATGTTGTGTGGAGTGAAGTTGTGATGGTGTAGAGAAAATTCAAACCAAATGCCTAAACTACAGAGAGATTTGGTGTACACCTGTGTCTCCCCAGTGGTCTATCAAGAAAAATCCTTATCCTGTACAACCATATCTTTGTGAAGTCATTGATAAGTATGCTGTTGGCGCATTACCTAATTTTATAACAGCCAACAAATGTGCATTCACATGGCCTCCAAACCTACCCCCCTCTCTCTCTCTCTCTCTCTCAAAAGACAATAGTTTCAAATGTTGCAGTGATATAGTTGCCTCTCTCTCTCTCTCTCACACACACACACACACAAGAGACAATCTTTTAGGAAAAAAGGACAATAGTTTCAAGTGTTGCAGTAACATGGTTGCCTCTCTCTCTCTCTCTCTCTCACACACACACACACACACACACAATCTTTTAGGGAAAAAAGGCAATAGTGTGAAGTGTTGCAGTGAAATGGTTGCCTCTCTCTCTCTCTCCTTTATCCCAGTGGTACCTCATTTAGGGAAAGAGAGACAATAATTTTTAGTGTTGCAGTGATATGGTTGCTTTCCTTTGGGGACAACAGAGGTGGGGAACATCTTGAACTGATTTCACATGTAACAAAAGAACTATTTCAAGGAGTAGAATGGTTGGGGGTCAAATAGTGGACATCTTTGATTGGACTTCTCTCTTTAAATGTCAATCTCATTGAAGGAAGATGTTTCTCTGAGGTTATGCATGTGATCTGTGCATGTGTTTAATGGGCTTAGTCTTATCCAAATGTTGGAGATTCCATTATGCAACTTACCCATGTTCTACATACTAATAGAAACAAAAATAGTATATGTAGAAAAGACCTAATTTCTTTTTTTTTTTTTTTTTTTTTTTCTAGGACTTACTAGAGAAATTTTTACATAGTTCCAATTACGATTCGATTCATATTTTTGCTTTCGTGTCGAGTTCTATTAGGTTGAGACCATATAATAACATCTCTATTATTCAGTGATAGCCTCTTTATATCTCAAAGTAGACATGCGAGGGTTTAAGTTTTCGCAGAGACAAGTGGGTGTGTGACAGGATTGAAAGAGAATTCAAAATTTCGGAAGGGCCTAAGAGAGTGTGTGTGTGTGGGATTCAAATCCTCTACAGTCACGATTTCTCGCACCACTATCAATGATGAATTTTGTTACCAGTATCAATGATGAATTTTGTTACTGT